AGACTAGTACCAATGGATGGTTGGGTTGTTGTAGTTTAAGGAGGATAAGCGTTAGTTGGCTTGTATGCTCTGCCCCTAAATTATATGTATGTGTGTTCATGGGTTTTACCGCACGTTGTTGGGATGATGTCCGACGTTTCGCTACACGGACAGAATTCAGTTACTGAAGGTAGTCTGATCCTGCGTAATCTGTTGATTACCATGGGCAGATCAGCGTCAGCGAGGCCTGTGGTATCCATAACCACGGGGAAAGGAGTCTCTACAGCCAGGCAGGTGTCATGTTCCGTCAACAAACCAACACCAATGGCATCAACAGCTCCTGACCATGATGACATCTTGATCTTGCCAAGAAAAGGTGTCTCTGCTTTTATATACACACACACACGACGTGACAAACGTTGATCAAGTCAAACGATCCCAAACACGTTCATCCGTCGAGCGTCGGACCGTGCTCTGGCATGACGGGTAGTCAATACGCCCACAGTGCATTGTGATGGCGAGCAGGGAAGGGGTTAATTAAGTGAGAGAGGAGGGGGGAGGCGATCGCAAAGGCTTCTGGCTGTCGCCTCGGCTGACCTTGTCTGGGTGGGTGGGCGGGCTGGCGGGGGCAGGCGCCGATAACAAAGGGGGGGGGTTGGTTTCTTAGCGCCACCGGAGCAGGCTTGACACAACTTGCCCCGTCGTCTCGCTCGCTCTCCGAGTGTAAAGCTGTCTGCTAATAAGACTGAGAAATAAGCTCCTAAAAGGGATTTCAAGTGAAGTGGGTCGGTTATCTGTGTCATTCTTAATTAGGTTTCCCCGTCTCGTAATCTCGAACCCCCTTCTCCGTTGCTTTACAATGGAACGGGGGGGGGGGGAGATTTAATTAAATGCGAAAGAGCTGATTGTGGTGGTGCTTATTATTAACCTTCACAGTTTCCTAGATTCCTTTTGTGAGCAATTGAGCATTTGGGGGCAGCGAGCGGTGAAACACATGCGAGCGTGTGTCCTATACTCGAAGTGCATTCAACATTTTCCGCGGGGCGCAAGGTTATTGTAAATAGAGCTGTGCGGTTGTGTCCGCTGAATGTATGTGTTTTGTGTGTGTGTGTATTTGGAGAGGCGACAGTGGTTGGCATACTGTGCTGGCTGTGCGAATTCGGTGACCCGAAGTTGTTTATCCCGCTGTTACCGCCTACTCTCTAGGCCTTCCCTGAGTCAACTGCGTTCGTGATGGTTTTGTGCGTATTCCCAGTGCTGATGCGAGCAACCAGGCATAGTTGCCACAACACCCCCAAATGTACTCTGTGCCAATTTAAACAAGTGCTTAGTATTACAACATTCACGCAAATAGTTTATAAGGTTTCATGGGAACGGTGTGTGGGGGGGGGGGGTATTTGTAGTTTTGTTGTTTTTCTTGCGTGTGATTGGTGTTTGGGAAGCGGTGGCATAGTGGTTAGCACAATGTGCTAAGAACCCCAGTGTCTTGGTTTTGAATCCCAACCATGGACAACAACAGTGCCGAGTGGTATCTGAACTCGCTCTGGACCCTCCCCTATGTCAACTCAGCCTCACACGAGTGTTAAGCATCAACACTGGGGAGATAAAGGCTGCTGGAGGTGGTACTGGCCACTTCACCCCATCGTTCACCACCGCTGGCTTTGACAGGTGCTCACTAAACCCCACGGCCTGTATAGGCGATACCGGAGGTCTTTGTGCGGTGTGCGCGTGCGAGCAAGCGCGCGTGTGTGTGAATGCGTTCTGTCGTGTGCTGCGTGCGGAGTACATGTCGGCGCACAACATATGTGAAAACAATGCCTGTGTAATGAGGCCTCGGTACTGTGTCCCCCAGTCTGTTTGCATAATGAAGTCACCGTCTTACTCGCAGAAATGAATAGAGCACGGCAGTTGTGATTGCACATTCTTAAATCATTCATGAGCGCATTAGCCCGCAGTGACAGCGCCCTCCATACACAGCGGCTCGCGCAGAGAATTTCATTTTGGTGGGAGCTGTGCATAATTTTTCTGGAGGCGCAGCAACGCCTCTCTGGAGCCGTCTCTCTCTCTTAATCCAGTGCTTTGGGAGGCGAGGAGCCAGTGGATAAGGCACCGACGTGCGGGGCTCTTGTGGCAATGTTTCACCTTATGAGGACCCCTCCCCCCCACTCCACGCGGGCCGTGGCGGTTATTGGCCGTGCTGCTCCACGTTAGTGCTGGGCTGGTTGACGAAGGCGAGGGAAGGGTAGAGAGGGAGGTGCATTTTGCCGCACTGCCCTCTGTTGCCCACGGTCGAGTAAAGAAATGGGCGCCACGGTGGTGGGGATGTTAACTACCTCGCCAGGTATACAGGAGATCCTAGGTTCGATCATGACCCTGACGCTTGTATATTTGGAGTTTGCAAGTTCTCCCCGTGGTCGTGTAGATTTTTCTATGGCTCCTTCGGTTTTTCCCTCATTTAGAAACACGTGTTTAGAGTATTTAGCTGCTCTAAATTTCCACACGTTAAGCCACTTCGTTGAGCTATCATTTGTTCCCAGGTCGCTTCTGAAAAAGAGCTATATTGCTCAGTGGGCCTTACATGGTAAAATAAATTATATATTTTAATCATTTCAAAGCCCACAGCAGCCCCCAATTTTTTTTGTGCGTGTTGAAATCTCGCATTCATGCACTGTTTAGGCTCAACGCTGCTTAGCCTTTGAGATCTAATGAGATCCGGGGCGATTTGGTCAGAGGCGATGGATAACTCAGATTTGTGAATGTTCAAAACTTGCCTTGTTGCAATGTACAGATAGTCCCCGAGTTACGATGGTCCGACATCTTACGATGGCGATAACGATACGGCAAAAATTCACTTAAATTACAGTTCATATAGGTAGGCTAAGAATTTACCTCCGTTTTTTACTTTACATTTTACTGTGCAATACAGTATTGTAATGGATAAATACATACAGGATATAGTTTATACAGTACGGTACTGTAAATTGCTCTGTTTTGCCATCTTCGACTTACGATATTTTTGACTTACGATGGGGTCGTCGTAACGCATCTCCATCATAATTAGAGGACTACTTGCATTTGCTAGGAAAAGGCACTACAGCAAGGACGTTCTTGATCCTGTCTAGCAGGCCTTTCAATGCTCCCTTGTTCTGCGTCCTGGGTTTTCTTGAGGTGATGCACTTTTCCTAAAGTGGATGGTCACAAAGTCTGCAAATAAATGTAAAATATTATCCCTGTAACATCTGTCCTGGAGAAAATCCAGTTTCCTTCTTTGCCCCCCTCACCACCACCACATCCCGCACGGCACTAAAGTGAAAACGTTGATTATCTGTAATAGGAAGGTGGAGGTGAGGAAATGAAGAAGTGGAGGTTGTATTCTTGGTTCTTTCGGTAAAGTCACGTAGAAGGGAAACAATAAAATAATAAAAATATAAAATAATAAAATTCTCAACGTTTCGACTGCAACACAAGCAATCATCAGGTGTGAAATCATCATCAAGTGTGAAAACACAAGCAATCATCACACCTGATGATGATTGCTTGTGTTGCAGTCGAAACGTCGTGAGAATTTTATTGTTTTATTATTTTTCTGTTTCCCTTCTACGTGACTTTACCGAAAGAATCAAGAATATGAATCCCTGCAGTCACGAAAGCTTTAAATCAAAATTATTTTTTCTATGTTATGTTTCGGCTTGGGTCTAATTGTCCACGGTAAACTGACGTTGGCTGTAATTTGCCACGGTCCCTTACGTTATGGCAAGCTTCGGGGCCACTTCCTGCAGTCGTGGAGTTCTGCCATTGCTAGTACATTTCATAAAAGCGTGTTTAAAAGAATTTTTTTTTTTAATATTGCTTATTCTACGTCAATCCGGCCATCCGCACGAGTCTTCACATTTATTACTCTGAGCATAATCCCGCGGTGCCACGGAACTGTTGCAAGAGTTAGTAGGCTTTTGGAAGAGGGCATTGGGTGCCCCCCCCCCCCCCCCCCGCAGCACCTGCCACCTTGACTTACCCCCCCCTACCTCTTCCCACAAATACAGAGTACCATCCAGTGCTTGTGGAAAGTTGAGCTCGGTCGTGGAATTGAAACGTGCATTCGGTATGAGACTGATGGCACGTGCCATTTAAAAATATGATTTTAGCCGAGTGCACTTTTCATAGTATAACTGCATACCATATCAGAATCTTTATTTAGACTGGAGGAATCCGATGAGCCATGAAGCTCTTTTTCACGGATGTCCAGTAGGGGTGGGTCGGCAAGTTACAACAACACTATATATAAATCGTGACTGCAGGAATTCATATTCTTTGGGGGTTTTTGGGGGTTTTTGGTAAAGCCACATGGCTTTACCGAAAGACCCAAAGATGACTATAATATATATATTATTATCCACATTTGATTTTGTGTGAGGCCACTGAATATACTATATAAGTTATACATTTCAAGTGTGTGTATACATATCGCATATTTGCTATGCATGTGACAATTGACACCCTGTACACTTTGCACACGAGTTGTTGCATCTCAGGTGATATCCCAGGTAAAATATAAAATGTAAAAAAAATTGCCTGTCAAAGCAAATGTGCCGTCTGAAAACACAACCTGTATGGACGAGAATCAACATTGACAAAGCAAATATAAAAGAGAATCTTGAAAAGTGCTCAAAGAAACTGGCCGTGCTGCCAGCTGCTTCTCACAACAGCGCATCATGTTGTGTGTGTATGCAGACGCTAACAGCACTTGCCCCTACGGTCTATTTGTGTATGCATGTTGAACTTCTTTCGCACCGTATGTAGCCAACCGCGCTAAGAAATTAGGTTTCAATCTAGATTTAAAAGTGCATGGCCCTCCGGCTTCTCAATATCGGAAGAAAGAGTGTTGCAGACGGCCGCAGAAGCGCATCTAAAAGCGCGCGGTGCAGTGGGGGGGGACCGTCTTTGTTCGATGGTTATCCAAAAGCCGGCTGCTGCGAGGATGAGGTCTGCAATTGCTATACCGAGGATCTTTTGTCTTCATGCAGACGTGAGCCAGCAGAGCATGGCGAGCGCCAGGAGCGGTGAAGCATGGCCTGGCGGAGACGGGGACGCCACCGGGAGGCCCCAGGGGGCAGACGCCACGAGCGCCGGGACCGCCGGCAGTGCAAACGAGGGTGGCACCGGTGAGCGTTCACGTTGCCACCTTTTTACAAGTCGGGAGGTGGGGGGGGGGGTGGGTAGGGTCGAACTGGCAGGGCCGAAGGGAGCAGAGGTGGGTGGGAGTAGAGTCTCGTTTCTTTGTGACTTGAATTATAATCGGTTGTTTAGATGTGGGCGGGGTGGGTCGGAGGTTACAGCACCGTGGCCCGGCATCTCTTGAGATATTGGGTCCACCGCCTGTCCCGCACCTCGGATTAGCATGGTTGGCTGCGTACGATGCGAAAGAAGTTCAACATAATACATGAACCGGGCCCTCAAGTGTAGCGAGTTAATGGTCTCAGCCCGGTCACCGATGAATGCGCAACTGAATGACCACATTAAACTTAGTTGTTCACTTAATTTGGTGGAATTCCTGCTCTGAGAATGAAAATATTGGATTGGCTGTCCTGTGACAAGTATTAATGTGACGTGGCAGGGCTAGTGGGAAAGTACTGTCCCCCCCCCCCCCCCCAACTGTTGTGAGGGTTATTTGATAATACTTAACACTGGTCTCAGTGCGGGTTGGTTGAAGGGGTCAATTTAAATGAGTACCAATTTGTAGGAAATCCAAACAGTGCTTGTCCTGTCAATCGGCTGTCTCCCCCCACAATAGGAATATGGAATTTCTATCGCAGCGTGTGTTTCTTGCGAAGGAATATGTGTACCACCATTTGCTCATTTTAGCCTCGACGTACTTTGCTTGACCTTATATGACTGCACTGTGGTTAGCGTGTAATTATGTTATTATGTCGGGGACGCCATCTCACCTATTAGCACATTAAGTAAATTGTCTCTACCTTTAAGAACCCCATTTTTATTGTCTGCTTTATGCTCAATGCTAATTTACATGTAAACGTTGCCTGGAGCGTGATTAATGCTACGTTTAAACAATGCCATCGTAAAACTATTTAAACGAACAGCGAAAGTGGACAAAGTACAAATTAAACTGGCTATTCTTTTTCATCTCCTAGGTGACGATGGAAGCCGTAAAAATGGTGCTATGAACGCAGGAGCGTTGGTCCAAGGCGTTTCATCCAGGCACAGCGACTCATCCAGTGGCGACGCCTGGACGTTACCAAACCCAGAATCCGGAAACGGCAATTGCACCGTATCCGGCAAAGAGGGGGCCAAAGAGGGCACGGCGTGGCAAGGCGGTGGCAGCGGCGGCGGCTGGGGCTCCAAGCACGTGCAGTGGAAGGACTGCCCTGTCACACCAGGCCAGCATTCGAGCAGCGGGGCCTCTGCGGCCGCGGTCGGCAGCGCTCAGCAAGGACCCTCCATGGGGGACGCCCAGAAGCCTGGCAACGGCGGTGGCGGCGGCCTTTGGTGCAACGGCGCACCGCACGGCGACAAAGAAAGCTCTTCCAAGCCAACGGCACAAAACGGACCTCTCAACGGCCTTCACAAGGCTGGGGCCATCGGGCAGCATGGGCCCAATGGCCACGGCGGTGGCAGCTACGACGCGGACACTGTTTCTGTGAATTCTTCTGCACCTTCGATGAACAGACTTCCAGCAGGCTGGGGTGGTGACAAAAAGCAGGGTGTTTTGAACTCCCCGACCCAGCCTCATCAGGGAGCTGCCAACTCCTCTGGGCCAGTGGGGGGTGGCGGCAACTTGGGTTGTGCCATTTCAGGGAGGGGTGGGGCGGGCGTGCCCGACGGGAACAATGCGGTCGGCGCCGCGGCTTCCGACAAAGGTTGGGACAACGGCAATGACGGCGCGACGAGCTTCGGCTCAAAGGCGGCGAACGGTACTGTGAACGGTGGCAGTGTCAGCGGTTCAAAGCCTTCCGACGGCAATGATGCGGTTGGAAGCAAAAAAGAGACTCAGGGCCAGGTGAAAAGCCGCAATGGCTTTTGGGGTAGCGGCGACACAGAGCGGAACTCGACTTGGGAAAGCAGCCATAGTTTTCACAACAGCAGTGAGAACGGCAAAGACGATGGCATGAACGGGGATGGCTGGGGCTCCAAACCCACGGGACAGCATCAGCAGGGCGGCAATGGTAAGGGGTCGATGAGCACTTGGGAAGCACTTGGCGGGTCGGCCAGTGGCGGCGAGACGAACGGAGCGGGATGGGGGAAAATCTCGGGTGGCGGCGGCGGTGGTGGCGGCGGTGGCGGCGGTGGCGGCGGTGGCGGCAGCGGCGGCGGAGGCGGTGGTGGCAGCGGTGGCAGCAGCACCAGCGTCATTGTTGGCGGCGGTGCCGCCACCACCACCACCACGAGCGGCAGTGTCGGGAGCAACGAGGGCAGCAGCGGCGGCCACAGCGGCGGCCACAGCGGCGGCCGCGGTCGGAACGGCGGCAGCGGCTACGGAGGAGGGCGGGAGCACCGACGCGTCGCCAAGTTGGACTCGCAGACGGTCATCCAGAGCGTGATGAGCCGTAAGGACCTGGACCCCCGTGTGCTCTCCAACACGGGCTGGGGACAGACGCCCGTGCAACAGCACACGTCGTGGGACGTAGAGTCGGCGGCCGCGGCGGCGGTGGCGCCGGTGCCGCCGCCGCCGAACCGCACCGCGCTGCATCCTCGACAGCAGTCCAACGGGAGCTCTGGCGACAGCTCCTGGAATTCCGGAGCGGGTTCTGCAGGCGCACCGGTCTCTGGGTGGGGAGACGGTGGCAGGCCGCCTCCACCTTCTGGCGCAGGTCTGTCAGTGGGGAGATGGGCAGATCCCGGGTCTGGCCGCGGAGATGGCCGGCCGGGTGGACCACCGCCCTCCTCCGAACGGGGGTTCGGGGAACCTTCGGCAAACTCCTGGGCCGTTAACAAAGAGCAGCATCAGCAAGGCAAGTCGCCCGGCGCGACGTCCTCTTGGGGCGAGCACGCCGCGTCGAAGCAGGCGCCGTCGGGTTGGGGCGGGCACGGTTGGGAGGGCAACGGCGGGCAGAAGCCGTCGTCGGGCTGGGAGGACGATCGGAGCGAAAGCTCCCCGGGCTGGGGCGACGCTCCCCGAGGGAGGAGCGGCAGCGTCAAGTCGAGCGGCGAGTGGGGCGGACCCGAGCCCAAAGCGGCGCCCGACGAATCGGCTCAGCCAAAGTCGGCGCGAGGGTGCCGGGAGCCCCCCGTGCCAATGAACGACTCGTGGGGCGCTCAACCAAATAAGCCGAACTATAACCAAAGCGGGGGCGATCACGCCAAACGCGCCGCAGCCTCGGCAGGCTGGGGCGATTCTGACTACAACCGCGGCGCTCTGCCACAAAAGTCCGCGAGGGCCGGCGGTGGTAGCGGCGGTCCCCAGGGGTGGAGTGACGAGCCGGGCGGCGGCTGCAAAGAGATGCCGCAAGGCTGGGGAGACGCCTCCAAGCAGAGCGACGGTTTAGGAAATTGGGGCGGCACCCCGGTCGGAGGTGGGAGGGATAGCTCATGGGTCGCCGGTAACACGGGGGGAGGAGGAGGAGGGCAGACTGCGGGCAAAATATTGCAGGATGGCTCGGGTTCGGGCTCAGGCTGGGGAGATTCCTCAAAGACGCCCACGTCGAGAGACTGGGACGATGGCAAAGATGGGCCCAGAGCCTGTGCGGATGGCTGGGACGGCAGAAACGGTGCCACCAAAGTCGGAGAAAAAGCAGGGGGTTGGGGCGAGGAGCATCCGGCGGGCGAGACTGGCGAGCGCTGGCGCAACCAGCACGGTGATGGCAATCCCGCGAATTCCTGGGGCCAGAATGGCAACGCGGGGCCCAATCCTAACAAGCAGGTAGGAGGAGGTATAGGTGGTGGTGGAGGCGGCAGTGGTGGCAGTGGTGGAGGTGGTGGTGGTGGTGGTGGAGGAGGAGGTTGGGTTGGGGGTCCTATCCCAGCGATCCCCAAAGACGTGGAGCCCACGGGCTGGGAGGAGCCGGCGGCGCAGGCGGGCCGGCGTAAGGGGGACGTTGACGACGGCACGGCGGCCTGGGGCGACCCCAGCGCCTACAACACGCGCGGCGTCAACATGTGGGAGGGCAAGCAAGGCGGCGGGGGTGACGGCTTCTCGCGGGACGGCAAGCAGCAAGGCCGTAACGACGGCCGCGTCCAAGGCTCCCCGAGCGTCGCTCCAGGTGAGACTGGAGTTAGCGTACCCATAGAACGGTGGGCAGTGGACGATAGCCAGCCCCGCTCATGTGTTTTTGGGTTGTACGTTGGTACAATTTGATATCGCGTTAGTGGTACGTATGTATTTTGCACCATACGTCGCCAACCGTGCTAAGTGGAGGTGCGGGGGAAGGACAATAAACTAATTACAGAAAGCAAAAAAAATCTAGATTTAAAAGTGCATAGCTCCAGTTGCTTCCTAATATCGGAAGGAAAGGCGTTTCTAGGTGGCTGCAGAAGCACATCTGAAAGTGTGAGTGATACAATCCAAGAGCTATGCAGCACAACCACACTGGTCACAGTGACGTGTGTGTGTGTGCGTTATTGCGTGTGTGCTGCACTTAGGACCTGGCATGCCAGTGGATAACGGCACGTCCATGTGGGGCAAGGGGGTGAGCGGTGGGCCCTCGTGGGGCGAGGGGCGTGACGGCGGGATGGGCCACGCGGGGCCTTCTCGCTGGGCCAACACCCCAGCAGCCGCATCGATTCCGAACCGCTCCGGTAAGTCTCCTTTCCCAGTTTTGATTGCACTGCAGCATGGAATTGTCGTGGGGGAGTATACAATGTCCCGTGTAGAGTCGTTGATTTCCTGCTCAAGCCCGTGGTGAAATATATGTTCCTGTGATGAGGACAAGTCTGCATATACAACCAACAACCACTGAACCCCAGCATCCTTCCGATAGCGAGCCACTCACTCTGCCGCTGCGCCACCTGGTCCTGTGTATGATAAAAAAATGTTTTTTTTATTATTTTAGATAACATCGTTTGTGCACATTGCATCTCACAACCGCTGAGAAACCACAGACAAGATGGCAGGCAGTGAGATGGTGAGCCGGTGCTAACAAATTACCCAAGTTCTGCAGTTTGCTATATATTAATATGTTTTCAGCCAATTAATGAGTAATCCATGTGGTAGGAAACCGAAGGACCCAAAGAAAACGAATGCGTGTGAGGGTATAACACTATCCCGCACAGAAGGGGACAGATGATATAAGTCCGCACTTTGCTGTACCGCCTTCCCCTGCCGAGCCAGGGTATGGCACCTCTCGATGCCCACGGGCAGAGAGTTTCACGACATTTGTGTGATCCACCAACCCTTGCGCAACTTTCACAGTGCTGCGTTGCAGATGTGTGCCATCACTGTCCGGCTATATATTTTTTTCCCGCACTCGGTAAGAAAGAATGCTACCCACCCTGGTTAACAACGACCATCCCCATAAATTTAACCCTGTGCGTACAAACTACTAACGTAGCAATGATCAACCCTGACTGACTGGTAGGCCACTGCTTGCTCCTTGTGCCCACAGACAACTGCCACTGCGGGGGGGGGGGGGGGGGGGGGGGGAGGGTGTCCCTCCCTTTCAATTGTGTTGAGATGAGCTGTAATGTAAAGCGCTCTGAGAGGGCGCATTATAAAGAAAATAACTTGGAAGTGTGCGAAGTTGCTGACCAATTGCAGTGAATTAACCCCGAGTTGTTAATTTCGCCGGCAGGTAAAGGCATGTCGGACAGGTGGGCCGCTGGCGCAGGAGGAGGAGGGCACCTCGAGAATGGCGGCACAGGCGGCGGTGGCGGCGGGGCACGCCCTGGCTGGCGTCAGCTGTGTGGCGGCGACGACGACGCGATGGCTGACGACGGAGGTGATGACGAGGACGAGGAGGAGGCGGGAGAGCCCGGCGGCTGGAGCGCCTGTGCCACGGCGTCGCAGGACAGCGCCTCTCCCCACGGCTCGGCCGGAGGGTGGGGGCGTGGTGGCCGACGGGGCCCAGCGGGCCCACCGGGCCCACATAAGGTGGGTCCCCACCCGCGGGCCCCCCCTGTGTGCCTTCCCTCCCTATCCATCTCCCTTTCCTCCTCCGCTCTCCCCCGCCACCTCCCCCGCCACCCCCCTCCCACCCCTCTCTCTTCGGTCTGCTGCTAAACACTGGTTGATCTTTGTGTCAAACGTTACCAGTGTCACGAATCGTAATTGATTTTCAGGTTCATCTTGGCGTTTTAGTTGTGCAATGTGTGTCATGTGATCTAATACAAAAAAAAATCCTATGATGAATCTCTCCATCCTGTCCCTTGGATTCTTACCAGATCACAATACCAGTCACAAGCGATGTCCAAAACCTTAAGGGGGCCAAGCCCCCTCCAAAGTGAAACGCTCTTAAATGACTACCCGGCGGTGCACAGCATTAACAGCAGCCTTGCAGAGACTAAAATCGGCTCCAGGAATGTTGCTGGCCACACCGCCCACTCGTGTTATGTGCTGACCTTGAAAGATTCTCGTTGGCAGCGGCAGTCTATAAGACGATGCACACGTGACCTGTGTGTGTGTGTGTGCGCGCGCATGTGTGTGTCTGTGTGTGCGTGCGCAATCTCAGGGAATGGGAAAAGTGCCAAACAGGCAGGAGGAGCTGATATGCAGACTTCTCAAGCAGCTCACAGACATGGGCTTTGCAGTAAGTAAGCGGTACCCATGTTATTTCTCACAATTGCAGCGAGACCCGCCAAGGCCTTCACAAGAGATTTTAATTTATTTTCGCGCTCGGGAGAGGAATTGATACGTCTTTCTTCGGGGACGGCACCATAGAAGTTGTGCTTTTTGAAGCGGCCGAGTGGCTCGGCAGGCTCTTAATTGCGGTGCCCAGAGATGCTGAGCCGGCAACTCTCATTCCTGAAAAGCCGGGTGACAGCTACCATCGGGTTCAACCGGCCTCTCAAGTGTGGGGAACTTACGACCTGTACACAAAACAACCCGTGCCAGATTTTATTTTCATTCCCGTGCAACTCGCACTCATTGCAGGACATTATGCAGAGTGTACCCTTATCACTCTGGGTGCGTAAGAGGCTCACTTACCAAAGTGAACACCGTGAGCAATACTGCGGGTTGTAATCGGCGAGCCGCAAACCCGCGATTCTTTGGTCGTCCCGCAAGAGAAGAGGAGCTCACGCCACTGCTTGTGCCCCCACTGACTCTCGTTCCCTTCTCCGATCTCCCACAGCGCGAGGTGGCGGAGGAAGCGCTAAGAGGCAGCAACCTCAACGTGGATCTTGCTCTTGGTGAGTGGGTTGGCGGGATGCCACGTGCAGCGCTCGCTTCTCCGCCTCCATTGAGAGGCCAAGTGGTCGCGTCTGTTACGTTTGAAGATAATTTTTCTTTGAATGTTAGTCTCTACAACTTTCACTTTTTTTGTTAAACATTCAAAACTTAATTATCACCATCTTAACAAACGTACAAAACGTTTTGCAACGTGACGCCGTAGTTTGGGGGGGGGGGGGGCACAATCTAGATTAAAAATATTATTTGGGGAAAACATCTATTAAAAAAATACTTCTGTAACGCCCTGTGTATCTTAAACGTTCAGACGTGTCGACGGAGTGGCTTCATGTTTGTTGACAACCTTATTATAGACCCTAAAATAAATATTAACCTTAAGTGTAATAAAGAATACATTTTTTTTAGCAAGCCAGGGCTGTTGGGCATGAAGGCCACGTTTCCGTTGTAAAAGCTGGTTCAACATTAACCGTTTCACAAGACCACTGAATTTGTTTTCGTGTTCACTTTCTGTTAGAAAAGTGTCCTTGGTGCTGAATAAAGCATAGCTATTTTAAGTACAGACTGTCCATTACATCAGTTTGCGGGAGTGTTTAATATACATTAATCGTATAAAAAAAACAAATATTTTAAACACGTCAATATAACCGCTTGTTTATCTCCAGTCCATAAATGCTTTTGTGGTAGAGTTGAACAGTTTTTAAGTGCTCATTGTTCTTATTTATGGTATTAACATGTCGCCTTGCATGCAAGCCCGTGTGTGTAATTATTGTCACAGTGGTGGAAATGCCATCCAGAGGTCACCGTTTGGTTAGATCTCCCGGCGCGGCAGTTGAAACAACCGCCTGCCCTCTCTCTGTCCACCCATCAGTTTTAACTGGGTACACCCCAGTGATTTGTAGATCGGCATGTGGGTAGTCCCACCTCTGTCAAGAAATCTGGCCAGTGTGGAAGAGTAGACCAACTGGCCTCTGGGGGGGTGGGGGGGGTGGGGCTCTAGGGTTATTTGGCAGCGAAGTGAGCAAGCAGTTATAACGGGGATGCATGTTTATCTGTTACCTAAAGTTGCTTTTCTGTGTGTGAACGGGACGAACAAACGAAGGAATACTGCAAAAGGCGGAACTGGACAGACGTTCTCTGGACTACAGCAGCCTGCTGTGCCGGAATCCAGTGCAGCGAGACTCCTCCACAGACCGCGCCCCATATTTCGACAAGGTGCGTGCCCCCTACGTCTTCTGCAACGCTGATCGACCGTGGGCCCCGCGGTCGCGCGTTCGTTGCTTGTCGGCAGAGGGTTCCCGATTTGACTCCGGCAAGCCGCCCTGGTTATTGCGCGCCGCCTGCTTTCCACAGTGGTCGTTAAAATCACGCCACCCCTTGTGGATCACAGCCTGATGCGCAAATGGCACGTCAAAGATTCGGCGGCCTGCGAGCGCGACCACAAATCTCAAGCCAACCGACCACATTGTAAACACCTGCTGCCTTCACTCCTTTAAAGGAGGAATGGCCTAGATCCACTCCGCTTCTGAACAGACAATTGAGTGGATAACAAATCTAAAATGACATAGTAAATTTGCTGCTATTAATCCATACAAAGAAAAAAAATGGTCGTCGGAGGATCACCAGACGTCATTTTAAATTAGGAGGCCATCGCATGCTCGCGTCTCGATCAATATTCAGCAAAATTTGAAAAATAACCGTCGCAGGTTACTCTCAATTGGTATATCACCTCACAAACATCACTCCCCTACTGGCAGACTTTTAATGCCTGCTGGCAGGCCAGGTTCTGAGTCACTGCGTGCTGCACAGGGAAGCCACAGTCACCAGGGTGCCCTTCCGATATTTTACTTGAGATGTGATGCAAGTCGCTTATCGCTTGCAATTTATCATTAGATCACACACGTGTACGCTCTTGCTTTTTACGGAAAAGGGTCATAACAAACAACAGCCTAATTAATATGTTTGGCAGGGAATATAATTTCAGAAGGAAAAAAATATACACAGCAATATGAAACATCTACAGAATGTGAAAATCAATCTGAAGTGTTCCCATGGTGGACACTGCCCATGGTGGATACTGGTAGCATATTCCACCCCAGATCGTACCGACCAACCCTCTCGGCTTATGGGTTAACATTCCCCACCATCTCTCTGATAAACTTAATCAGTAGGAGGCCAAAGGTCGGTTGTGGGGGGGGGGGGGGTGTTGTGAAGGTGCAGAGTGAAACTCTACCCTTTGTCCCATCACACACAACTTTATCTTACCACAGTATTTTGTTATTTTCTTGCGTGGAGAAAAAAAAGGATTACACGTTTGCTGTGAGAGTTGCACTTGGCTCGACAGTTAACATGTGTTTAGAGCATTTGGCTGTTCTAAATTTCTGCACGGTTAAGCCACTTTGTTGAGCTGTCATTTGTGGCCAGGTCGCTTCTGAAAATGAACTATATAGCTCAGTGGACCTTGCCTGGTAAAATATTTTTTTTTCCCCCGCATACGACCGATTTAAAAAAAAAAGACGCACGCCGAGAATATTGACTACTGAGGCTGTCTCTTTCGCTCCCACCGCCGGGCTAGCCAACGAGAGTATTTAAAGCCTCGCTAATGAGAAGGATGACTTGAAATGTACGGTCGAGCACGCGGCATCACACTCCCGTACGCTTTAACGAACCGTGTTAGCGCAGTGACGTCAACGGATTGGCAATGTGCAGCACGCGCCGCTTGAAGTGGGCACTTTGCAAAGACCGATTTGCCCTCCCCTTGCTGCTTCTCACTGCTGCTTTGCCGGCAGAGCCGAGCACATTTTTGCTTGTTTCTCACACCCCTCGCCGCCTCTGCCACCAAGTTTGCCTTAGCCGACACAACTCACCATTAAATTTAACTCGAGCATGGCTGGCTTAATTTTTTTTCTCCCTTCCTCCTTTGTGCTCCCTGTTTTTTTTCTTTTATTGTTTTATTTTAAATGTTGTTTACATACCTCTTGCTTTCGACGTGCTTTGCGGGGTGTGAATTTTTACTTGTGTCTGTTCTTGGGTGGTGCTTTTTCTTTTCGGCTGAGGGGGGCCCTCCTTCCCCCCCCCCCTCCGCCCCCCACCACCTCGTCCCCTCGGCTTTTCTGCTTTGGCGGGCACCCCCACCACCTCCGCCCCCTCGCTCCGTCCACCCCCCCCCCTTCCTCGCCCCACTCCTCCCCCCACTTCCTCGCCCCCCCCCACCTTGCTCGCTTGCAGCTCACACTGTCGCTGGGTAGCCAGGACTCAGGGCTCGCAGACGAGCCTCCGGGTTCTCCGTGCCCGTCCTCCCCGCCCACAAAGCTTTGCTTTGCTGCTGCGGGCGCCGCTCAAGGTCCCCGGCCCACCCCTCCCCATAACCCCAGCCCAGCCTCCCAGCAGGTGAGTAAGTGAGAACAGGGCCAGTTGTAAGTGAGAACAGGGCCACGTGCTGCCCGGCTGGGGCAGGAGAGACGATGCAACAACGATTCGACCGTCGTACCCTTTCCCTCCCCCCACTGCCTTCCACCGCTGCTATTCATTGTGTATCCCCTCTTGCCTCCGGGTGCCACAGGTGCCGAATATTGACTTGCTATAGCTCCCCTCCCCCCATGTACTTTTGGGTTGTTCCCCGTTTTGTTTGGCACAATGCGCGATGCTTCGCTCCATGTGCGTCTTCAAGAACTGTAATGGACAGCTCCACTTCATAGTCGAGGCTGAAGAGTGACCGGCTTGGTTCACTTCGTGGAAAAAAAACGGAAAAAAAAACCTCCCAGGACGTGGAGGGAAACGTTCAGCATGGCGTGGAACGTTGTTGTACATCCCAAGACACCCGGTACAGTTTGACCCCCAACGGAGGATTTGAACTATCAACTTTCCGATGGACTGGATATCAAAGCGAAGTTCTTTCTAGCATATTTAATATTTTTGTTCTTTATTTTAAAAGTGAGACCTTGTGTTCAATCATCGTAAACATTGTAGCGTTTGAGTCGAACTGACTCCGTGCAGTTTAATCTGAATTGCCATCAACCATGAAGTTCACGTTCATTGGTGTAACCAGAGCAAGCTTTGTCCTGGATGACCAAAATGACAAAAGCAAAAGAATTAAAATAACTCGCAGCAATGAAGCAGATACAAATCAAACCCCAAAAAAAACCTGTCGCCAGAAATATCAGAAATATTCTACAAAGTAAATCAATTGTAAATAATAAATCCCTTTAGCGCAAGTTGGCTCGAATCAGATCATTTTCCTTGACCGATGCAAGTCCTATTAATCCATTACGTTACGAGCAGGGGTGGAAAGCTGAAGAGAGATACTCGCCGATGAGATTTTTATTTGTAAAACTTTTTTTTTAATTAAGAGCCCGAGTGGCACCACAGGGGATGACCGAGGTGTCAAAAGGCACACGTGTTCGCCTCATTTCATATAATAGATAAGTACGCGGCTTTAGAATTTACTCGTAGGAACATGCGCGGCAACTGTTCATTACATTGGTCGGGGTTAGCGACTTACAATTCCCGTCCTTGATAAGCGCATTTCGAATTTACATAGGCACATCTCAACCCCCCCTCCCCCCCGCCTCCATCGTGATGGGACGATTTATCACGTTTCAAGGTCACAATTCGGTTCATGGATATATTAATTTATTCATCCCGTTTTTTATCATCATGTTTCTTTGTAGTTTTCCTTCCCGCCTTCGTTTTTGTTCGCCCAAAATGTAATGTTAACCTTGTAATTTGCGCATAATGAACGTAAATAATTGATTCTCGCAGGCGGGGTCTTCATGCGCGCGCCGTACCGCGAGCATGTGGCACCGATGAATGCGTCGTTACATGCATACTAATGCTGCAGGTGGTAGGCTGTGCACATCAGGGTTGTTCCCACAGTCCGCCCGTCACCTCCGGGATATGGTGTGTTTAGTCTCTTAAACAATTAACTGACCCAACGCAATTTTACGTGTGCGTGTAGAGCGCTTATTTTGGTATGCACGTTGACGAGGGGGAAAAAAAAGGAGTAACTTATAATAAGCATTGACCGCCTTCGCTCTCCAGCGATGTATTGAACGATAACGGCACTAATTGGTCGCGGCGTAGCTATCAAGTGTGGCAGGCAGTGCAATTGCACCAGCGTCCACAGGCCAGGCCGGAGAAGCCCCAGATGCCCAGCTACCGAGGGGTGGGAGAGGCGGTTGGGGGGGGGGGAAATGAGGATAGGACGGGGGGTAGCCCCAATTCTCTCCCTGCACCCAGGGCTCCTGCCAACACGCGCCACTACACCACCGGCAGCAATCGATGTACCGTTGCCTCCACATCGTGCTGTGGGTCACGTGCCTGAAGGTCACTTTAAACTTGTTTTTCTCATTAGCAAAGCTTCAATCTCATGTCGGCAGAGCCTAGGATTTACAGCCCAAGCAAGTGCTTGTATACAACAAAGGCATTGTATTTGGGATGGGATTGCAGCTTCCTTTTAAAACGGTCGCGCATTCCACTGCGAATATATTTTGCTTGCATTGCTGTAGAGGTGTAACAATTGATTAATATCGATCCGCACACTCGCGACACCTGCGTGTGTAATCACGTATGCGAGCCGCAATTATTTCCACTTCATATATTTTATTACCCCCATATGAATATATATCCACTCACACCAAAAGCAGTTGCACGTATATGTCAGTTATTATAATTATAGTGGGCAATGATTACACCACTGCGATGACACGCTCTGCACGGGGGCAGGGCTGATGAGGCGGGGGGGGTGGGCAGCCAGTGAGTCCTGGTGCGGTTGCACCGACCGCGCACCCAAAATAGCTATGCCACTGATCGCATCGTCCAGTAATCAGAGGTGACGAGAGAGGTCTTGATGCATAATTACTTATTTAGCCAGGAAAGCTACACTTGAGTTCAAATAACCTTTTTTATTTGCAGGAGGATCCCCGATATGTTTGGCCAACACCCATGACATTTGTATGTTTTAATCAATGGGGGGGGGGGGGAGAAAACCGGAGTACGCGGAGGACCCCAATGCATGCACCGTGGAGGGAGAGATAGGACGTGCCGTTGTGGCTGGACGACGAGTTGCCCGGAAGGATTTGCAAGCGGGGTCGACGCTAACACAGTGTTCGTGTTTTTCCCCCCACCCACCCTCCGCCTTGCTTGCCGTGCAGAATGGTAACCCCAGCCTGTTGGGCAGGAACCTGCACCACCAGCCCTCGGGCCACCAGCAGCTGCCCTCGCCTGGCCAGCCCTTCCCACTGTCGCCCTCGGGCCTTCGCTCACAAGTGCCTCCTCACTTCCTCACCCCTCAGGTGAAGGGTGGCTTGTTAACCCGGCCCCTCGACTCGATATCTGCGAGTGAAAAAGAGGATTCGCAGCTCATCTGGATTCCTCTAGGATAAATCAAATGAACAGAGATTCTGATGCTCTAAAATATTCTGCTTCCATAAGTTTTGGGTGTATATGTAACGTTGAACTTCTTTCCCACCGTACGTAGGCAACCGTGCTCATCGGAGGCGTGGACATTTGTCCTTTCCCATATGTTTTTCTTTATTGCCAATCGTCAGGCGAGCAGCGGGAAGGGGGCGGTGGGGCGGGTAAAGGTTAAAGAGTGACTCTGGCCACTGAAGTTGAGGTTCTGCGCAAACTTTGTTCAAATTTTTTTTTGAAGTGCCCTAAACCGAATTGAGTCGGAAAACAGATTCGGATTTGTGTCCCTAGCTCTTGTACAAACCAGTTGGTGCGACTGATGAAATCCAGCTTAGCGAGTTGGATCTCGACGTCTCTCTTCGGCGCGTGGTGGCTTTCAGCAAGTCTTTTGGTCTATCCATGTCGATGCAGAGTTTGCCCCAAGCTTGCAAATTTAAATGTAAAGGGTGCGGTTGGGCCTCCCTCGCCACGCTGCCAGTGGGGAATCGAGCCACCGGGCGTTTATATTAGCACATAAATTTACTTAATTTATGTATGTGGGGCACAATCGTTAATGTTAAAATTAATACCATTAAGCGATGTTTTATCATTTTGGTTTTCGTCCACCTTCAATAATTGCCCTGTAAATTGTTTTATATACTGAAATTCGTTAATAAAGTTATTACCTTGAAAAAAAATCAATTAAAATCAATTTATTGGCTGAAGATGGAATGATGTCCTTCGAGGAAATGACGGGGGGGGGGGGGTTTGTTATTAAAGAAAACGGATATATTGGGTCAACGTATCCCTGAATTAGCCCGATATATTGAAGACACTGCAACATATGGCGCATTGAATGTTTCAGGTGGCGCCTGCACAGCTGCTACAGTACGCAGCAAAGGCTGGCGCCCTCAACCCCGCGTTGCTGCTGCAGCATCCCCTGGCTAACCCGCAGATGGCTGTGTTCAGCCAGCTGGCCCAAGCACAGCTACAGCTGGTGAGTCCATCACCACGGCTGCCACCCCACCGATATCGACGCTCGCGTTTGCCGCCGCCGTCATAATCTCAACATCAGCCATAACCATCATCGCCCTCACAAATATCAACACTGGCATCGCCATCATCGCCACTGCCAATGGTAATACCAGCATAGCCGGCACCAATATCAGCGCTAACACAGTCACCACCAACACAATGTCAACACCAGCATAGCCACTACCACCATTGCCAAGCCACAATCGCCACCAACGTCAACAATAATATAACTATCATTATCACCACCACCACTGCCAACACGAATACCAGCATAGCTGCCACTGCCATTGACAACATAAACGCCATCATAGCCACCGCCACCAACATAGCCAGCATAGCCACGAACACCACCACCGCCACCCTGGATAACCACCATCGTGAATATCACTACAATACCGTCACCACCATTGCGCAACAACGACAACTGTTTTGTTGCCAGATAAAAGGGGAAAACCCTATTTTCGTATTTTGGTACTGGCAAAGGAGGTCCCATGATGTAGATGCTCACCCCGAGCTCTCATTACTCTGATAGTGGCATTGTCTTTGGGCTGTGTACACCTTTTGGCGTCCTCCCGTCTAACACCGTTTGAGGTGAGGCTCAAAAGAAAGCTGTCTCTGGTGTGGACCAATCAGTTTTAAAGACGATGCATATATTATCAGTGTTTTTTTTTGCATTTTGACCACAAGTATTGTGGTTAATGTAGACATGATTCCTTGTAAAAGGTTTCAATTTTGGTATTTTAACAACTTAACACCTGTTTTGTTGCCAGATAAAAGGGGAAAAACCTATTCTCAACTGTGGTTTCTTGAAATACTCTTTCTCACACATCGGTCACGTATTTGTACACCTACAGCCCTCTTTGTCAATCCACCGCTGCATGAGCACGCTGCCTACGCTGCGCGAGTCGTGGGAGCTATTTGACCATACTTCACCACTGACCAGTGCGGATTGTTAGAGGTGGCGGCAGGGGGAGCCCATAGACGTTGGAACATGCTGCACTGCCCTCTGCTGGCAATGTGTAGTCCTTTTTTTTAGTAACGTCAGTCACATCGTGAGACGTGTCACCTATTATATATTATTTCGTTTTGAGCCACGGTGTTATTGATGAATGTTGTTGAGTGATTTTTCTTTTTTGGGGGCGACATTTGAGGAATGCAATTTTTTGTTTATGGGCGAGACATCGAGAGGTAGAATGCTACGGGGCAGAGAGGGAACATAGGCAGTGAAGAGGAAAGACGTAATCCTGGAACATTAGAGGGCAGACGTAACAGGCTTGAATGGATGCTACAGTGGCAGGGAGGTCCAAGCAAACGGGTGCAGTAACCGAGCAAACTCCCATTGAGCAGAGACACCACGGTGGCGAGTTGTTAACTACCTCACCTGGTATGCAGGAGGTAGTAGGTTTGATCCTGACCCTGACGCCTTTATATTTGGATTTTGCGTGTTCTCACCATGGCCACGTGAATTTTTTTCTGGGTCCTCCGGTTTTTCCCTCCACATTTAGACTCAACGTGCGTTTAGAGTATTTGACCGCTATAAATGTCCACATGCTAAGCCACTTGGTTGAGCAATCATTTGTGGCCAGGTCGCTTCTGAAAAAGAGCTGTGTAGCTCAGTTGGCCTTACCTGGTAAAATAAACAAAAATGTTTATAGGTGGGAGGGGAGGGCCTTAGTTTCTGGAGTAGAGCACACAAACAAGAATGTATAGCAAAATGAGCGAGGGGGAGAGGCTGGTCCAACTGTGTCAGTACTCGAGGCATTCGTGCAACACTCTCCGTTTATTTTAGGTTAAGACCCCACTGCAGTTGGCGGTCGCCGCTTTGGCTCTTCTCCCTTTGCGCAGCCGCCGCAATGAACTTCGGTGAATGAAAATAAATTGGTCGACTCGTATTTATCAGCCGTCCGGTATACACATTACGGTAAAATATATATATACAAAATGCCAGCCACCCCACACACAGCTGCAGAGCCTCTCGCCAAAAGCCGGCCAGTTAACAGATCTTCAACAAATGACAATCGTTGGGGAACATTTTCATTTGGCTTTGCAGTGTTGACCCCAAAACGTGCAATTGTATCGGCTGTGTCTTAAAACGTAGGTTTTTGGCGGTCACCCTGTACAGCTCTTTGTTGTGATGTTCAAGGTGTACCGTGACAAATTGGGTCCGATCATTACGTGGCCAAACCCCTGAATTAAATTTTGAATGGCATTAAACCTTTTTTTGTTAGACCACGCACTTTTTTTTTTCTATCACGTTGTCTTGTGCTTTGAGCTATACCAGGGGTTGGCAACCTGTGGCTCGGGAGCCACCTGTGGCTCTTTGGCTGCCCCCTAAGCGGCTTTTTGACAGCTGTGTACCTTAGTGGAGGTTTTTGGGTGAGATCCCGTGAATATGGCGAGATTTGTCAACTGCCTGTGTCCGCTTGGTGATGCTGCTGGTTGTAATTACTGGTGAAACGTCGTACCTCGATTGTAAATGTCGTGTGTTTACTCTCCAACACACCGTGTGCCGAACCAGTAACGAATTGGCACGTTTTGTTTACGTGACGAACCTTACTAATTGGCTGTGTCGGGTGGTGGCGGGTTTAACGACACACATCTACGCGATCTAACCCAATAACTTCTCATGGATATTATTGGTCACGGAAGCCTCCGTGTTAAACTGCTGTATAACCGCTGAGTGTGTGTGTGTGTACATGTAGCCCTGCTTGTGATGCGACTCTCGAAAATATTTTGGTCAAAGTAAAAAATGTCGAAAAAAATATATTCTTTGAAAGGTTGGCGACCCCTGACCTCTACCATCCCCTTACCCCCAAAGCAAATCCCCCCCCCACCTCCCTCCCCCATACCTCTACCCCACCATCGCTCACCCAACCGGACTTAAGTGTAGCGCGGCAACGTCACCGCGGCTCCTATTCATGCGTGCACCCTGCCCCGTGGCAAAGTTGAGTCAGTTGGGAACCGTGCGGCTGCATTTTGTCCTCTGCCCGCCGATTTTTCCCCCCAATCTGTCCCTAGGCCCAACAGAGGCTGCTTCTGCAGCAGCAGCTGTCCCAGCAGACCCAGAGAAACTCATTCAAACAACAGCGGGAGCAGCAGGTGAGCGAGCCTTTCCAGATCCTAGCGCTGGTTGATGATGACGACGCAGATGACGGTGACCGTGATTCAATAATTAGCAGCCCTGCTAATTGCTTGCTCACGCCGCCGCCGTAAATGCTTCGACTGGAAAGGTCTGGAGAGGATAATTTTGGCCTCTTCCAAGCCAGCCAAGCGGGAGTACCCACCTGCACTTTGCCCCACGAAGATGCAACCTGTTGTGTACTGCTGGATGGAGAGAGGCAGGGGGAGGATTTCGGCAACGTGCACCATTTCAGCTGCCACGCCGGGAGATGGGGTCGATCTTGCGACCTCTGGATTGCGAGCAAAGTGTGCGCTACTACTAACCATTACACCACTGGCAGCATCTTGATGATAAGAAGTGTATCTATTTCGGTGCCTCAATCTGCAGGAGTCTTCTTAAATAATTTGATAAGAATATTATTCATAAAGCCAGGCAAACCTCGCTCCCGAGTCTCGGTATATGCATGTCATTAAGCGCTATGTTCACACATTAGGAGCGGTAGTGGAACGACCCGAAATCGATTCCAGCTCACGGCCTACATGAGCCGGTCGTGGGCCTCCCCTACGTCGACTCGGACTCAAATGAGTACCCTTTACGATGTGTAAACATCGGCACTGGGGAGACAAAGGCGGTCGGGCGCGGTTGCTGGCCACACACCCCCTCGTGTGCCGTGCCGGCCTTCATAGGTGCTCGCTAACAGCACTTGCCCCCAACAGTCTGCTAAGGCTATACGGGGGGGGGGTCTTGTCTTTTGTTGACACCAAGGGACACCCTTGCAAAGGTGATGTTCCTCTTCGAGGGATTTTCCATGTGGAATATTCTTGAATGAAGAGAAAAAAATGAAATGCTATCCTCTTCCCGTAGGGTCCCGCATTGATGGTTTCGCCGGTTCTGTTAATGATTGGCAGCAGTGTCGTTTTTAGGAAGACGACCATCCAAATAAACCTAAACAGTAATTCTACACCAAACACACACACACCTGGTGTTGTGTGTCCCAGAATGTCCAATGTCACTATGAAACGCTGACAGTGAGACGCGGAGACTACATCAAAGCGACTTGCGGGGGCGTACTCTGATGACATCGCTGGTATACCTGACGAATGTGCTTTTCATTGTCACTCAAGCGCTGCAGAAAAACCACTAGATCTTTTTTTTATTCTCCGCTTTAAACTCACACGTGTCAGCTCAGGATACACAGCCCCCCTCCCCCCGCCAGGTATATGTTTGTCTGCCAGAAACCATCCTGTAGATCGGAGCCTTGTTGGATTTGTGCGATGCAAGAAAAAAACTCGCGGCGCGGCGTTCGGCTCAATATAACACCCGTCGGTAACGTGCGGCGTCTCCGCAGCGGGATTTTACTTTTGCCCCCGCGCTTTCGTTCATGTTACAGCAAGCCGACACAGCAAATGTAAAGAATACATTTCTGTGTCGCGTTTGGCAAGCCCCCTTTGTTAGCGGTTATGCGCGCGAGCAGGTGCGTCCGTGTCCGCGCACGCGCTAGATATCGCGACGCTGCAGCTGCCACCGCTTCATGCAAAAAAAAATTCCACGTAAGCGACCCACTTGGTAAAAAAAAAAACTGCTCGAGTCTTTTTGCCTTTGTGCCTACACGCGCCACCCCCGGTGTCAGCGGTCAACCGTGTGTGTGTGTGCGCGTTCCTCCCCACCCCATCCTGTCCTTTGTTCACATAGATGGCTCGGACAATCGGAAGCTTGCAGCATCAGCAGTCGCACAATCAACAACAACAGCAGCAGCAGCAACAGCAGCAGCAGCAGCGCATGCCGCCTTTTGCGCCTGGCAAACCTCAGCATGGCTTGGGACCCAACCCCGGCCCAATCATCGCTTCCGGTCGCCCGGACCTGCACGCCAAAGACATGAACCCACTGCACTCCTATTCCAGCTTCCTGGGTGAGCCCTAAATCTTCATGCCAAACAGTATGAAACATAAACGATAAAAGCTTAATTGAACTTTTATTTTATTTCACCAGTTGTAAGGCCCAGAGGCTGTGCAGCTCTTTTTCAGAAGCGGCCTGGTCATCACAAACGAGATGGCTCATTCAAGTGGCATATCATGTGGAAATTTATAGCAGCCAAAATACTCTAAATGCGTGTTTCTAAATGTGGAGGGAAAAACTAGGGGAGCCGGAGAAATATTGCTTTGACTGTGATTATTGGAGATGTTCGCTGTTTAAACCCGGCAGCCGCCCCGGTTAATGCTGCCGGTATAATGAACCGGTAAAATATGCACTGGCTGCTTTCACAATGGACGTTGAAGATCCCATGACGTCATTGCAGCCAGCACACACACGTAGGGCCACGTGTGTGCCCTCGTCCAAATCTACCATATTTGCTAAATTGCTCACAAATGACTGCATTGGGAAGCTACGTTGCAACCATCACCCCTTGCCAGTGGGCTAATGCTCACCTGCTGGTCGGTACTGCATTTACTTTGTGCCTCACAGAGACAGCTGCCACTGTGGGGGTCTCTTTCCCCCCCCCCCCCCCGGGGCACCTAGTTCTGTGTGGCTATGTTGAACTTCTTCCGCACCGTCCTTAGACAACCGTGCCAATCAAAGGTGCGGGGAAAAGACGACAAACTAAACTCAAAAAGTATTCCTAAAGAAATGAGTTTCAATCTATATTTAAATGTGCATAGCTCCAGTGGCTTCCTAATTTCGGAAGAGCGTTCCAGACGGCCGCAGAAACGCATCTTGAACGCGCGCGACGCAGTGACCGTCTTTGTTCAATGGCTCGCCAAAAGGCACTGCGAGGATGACCACAGTTCTATTGATGGTTTATGGCCCTTGATGAGATCAGCAAGGTATTTGTGGCAAGCACTTTTGAGTGCGGTATAATTAAGTTGGGCAGATGGTTTTGACGACGTTTTGCCGAATCTCATCTCATCCACCCCTCCTGCGCCTACCCACGTGCCCAGCGCCAGCCTTGGGAGACAGCGTGGCAGACTTCGGCAGCCTCGGACTAAAGGAGCCCACTCAGTCGCGGCTCAGTCAGTGGACCGTAAGCTCCGGGATGGACTCTCTGCCCGGCGGAATGCACTCCTTGGACCAGGGGCACGGCAAGTCAGGTCAATTCCTTGTTTGCACGACAACTCCGGGTTTTTCCCAAAAGGATCCGGCCAGCCATGCTCACTGCGCTCGCACTCGGCCTCACACACACGCACACCCTGACCGTCACCCGCACAAACCCTCGCATGCCCTCGTTCACTTGCTCGCTCACTCACTCATCTTAACCTGCTCGCACCACCACACTCGTGCTCTCTCACTCGGGCTCCCACACTCACCTTGTCACACTCTGCCTCGCACAATCCCACTCCTTGGATAAGCACAGTTGGCTACGTACAGTGCAAAAGAAGTTCAAAATACAGGAACTCCTCTACTTACGAACGGGTTAGGTTCCAGAGGTGTCTTCATAAGTCGATTTTTTCGTAAGTCCAACGTTACTCCTGTCGATTCCAAACATGTTGTACGGCATGTACACTAAACACAGGGAATGGCTTTTAAAAGTTGTATAATCTTCTGTAGATGTTGATGCCACTGGTTCTTCACGTTCTGTAGATGTAGATGTCACTGGTTCTTCACGTTCTGTAGATGTAGATGCCACTGGTTCTTCACGTTCTGCAGATGTAGATGCAACTAGTTCTTCACGTTCTGCAGATGTAGATGCCACTGGTTCTTCACGTTCTGCAGATGTAGATGTTACTGGTTCTTCACGTTCTGCAGATGTAGATGCCACTGGTTCTTCACGTTCTGCAGATGTAGATGCTACTGGTTCTTCACGTTCTGCAGATGTAGATGCCACTGGTTCTTCACGTTCTGCAGATGTAGATGCCACTGGTTCTTCACGTTCTGCAGATGTAGATATTAATGGTTCTTCACGTTCTGCAGATGTAGAACCACTGGTTCTTCACGTTCTGTAGATGTTGATGCCACTAGTTCTTCACGTTCTGTAAATGTAGATGCCACTGGTTCTTTACGTTCTGTAAATGTAGATGCCACTGGTTCTTCACGTTCTGTAGATGTAGATGCCACTGGTTCTTCACGTTCTGCAGATGTTGATGTCACTGGTTCTTCATGTTCTGCAGATGTAGATTCCACTGGTTCTTCACGTTCTGCAGATTTAGATGCCACTGGTTCTTCACGTTCTGCAGATGTAGATACCACTGGTTCTTCACGTTCTGCAGATGTAGATACCACTGGTTCTTCACGTTCTGCAGATGTAGATGCCACTGGTTCTTCACGTTCTGTACATGTAGATGCCACTGGTTCTTCACGTTCTGCAGATGTAGATGCCACTGGTTCTTCACGTTCTGCAGATGTAGATGCCACTGGTTCTTCACGTTCTGCAGATGTAGATGCCACTGGTTCTTCACGTTCTGTACATGTAGATGCCACTGGTTCTTCACGTTCTGCAGATGTAGATGCCACTAGTTCTTCACGTTCTGCGGATGTCGATGCCACCACCGCCATCTGTTGCGCAGCAATTGAACTTACGACTCTCGGTCCGAACAGGCAACTGGCCATACAGATAGCTTTGTTCGTATCTCTGAAAGTTCGTAAGTCGAATGTTCGGATGTAGAGGAGTCTTTGAACTTACTAATCCTGGTTCACACTTTCCCTTCAACACTCGGTCTGCACACTCTCTCGCGCGCTCGCCCTCGGGTGCTTCGCCCTCAAACCAACACTTTCTCCTGAGTCCTGCTTCTTGCGTACCTGCTCACATGCTCTTCCCCCGCACCCTGTGGCTCGCGCGCTGTCACCGCACACACGACCCTGACACGCGCTAGCCCACCTGCGCACACCCATGTATCCCTCCAGCCTTTTAACAACAGCCGAAGTTGAGAACTTTTAGAAACTTGACACTGCTGTGCACGACGCTGTTATTCGCAAACGGTCGCGCCATGCTGATGGAATGCTTTTACCGTGATGGAGTACCGGCCCTGGTTCCACGCTGGCGCAAGTGCAAATGTATGCAATGATTCATCAGTTAAATAACTAGCATAGAAGGCATTGTTTTAAGGCAGGGGTGGGGAACCTTTTCCTTACTGAGTAGGTGGAACAGGACTTTCCAATAGTGAATGACTTGCCCCGTGCTGAAATTATTAACTCTGTGTTGTTGCCAGGTCAAAAAATATTCCCCTCTAGTACCTGATGACTGCAGCAGCTAAGATGCTCGGAGTGACGCATTAACATCATTTGTGAGACTTTGGTTTGAAGTGGTAGGCCTCGTGTGGCCACGGGCCATGCGAGGTGGACATGAAGTCACGGGCCCTGTAAAATTATATTCTCAAAGGCCGTAAGTTCCCTCTCCTGATATAGGCACATCCGCTAATTATTTTACACAAAGTCAACCCATTTATAAATAACACTATGGCCTTAAAAGGATAACATAAATACTAAGTAGGGCCATTGCCCAGACCGTGTTATATATTTTTCCTGTGACGTTTTGTTTAAGATTTTTATTTGGGCTTGTGCACCCCACTGCCAGTCACGGTGGAACAATCTAATTAGTCTAATTCATCTTTGAGTTAACTCGCCTGCGTCGTCTCGCTCCTGTGTGGCCTTGCATGCAAAGCAGTGAGCGGGTTGGCCAAGCTCTCGCTGGACGACCAGGCCTTCGGCCCTTACTCGATGCTGCAGGGCGTCAGCGACGACCCGGCTAGCCCGCTAGCGCCGCTCGCCAACGGCTGGGGCAACACCAAGCCCGGGCATCCTCCTCCGTCTTCGTCATCCTCGTCTTCATCCTCCTCCGCCTCCTCTTCGTCCTCCGTGTCCGACAAGCACCCACACAGCCCCACCCCGGCACCCGTGGGCTGGCCTCCAGGTGATCGGATGGATCAAAAACAATGCGTAAACATAAATTATGAACACAAATTAAATAAACGATGTCGTTATGAGTACCGTGTTAGAGTTGCCCACCTCTCCCCCCCCCCCCAACTGACACGGACTTTTCCCCCGCGCACTGCGCATGCTATCGTTCCACCCCCCCACCCCCCGTGTAGAGTTCCGCCCTGGTGAGCCGTGGAAAGGACTGCAGCACGGGCAAAGCGACGTGGAGTCCAACCTGACCCCTGGAGGAGGAGCCGCATTACTCAGGGACAGGGGCGCAGGCAAGGGCACGACACGTCACTCTCATTTATACCTACCTTGTTGAGCCCGAACGGGACCACCGTGGTACGTGGTTGCTTTTCCGCTGGCGATTTGTTGCGCCGAGCCCGGAACCAAACGGTGATGCGCGGGCCCTTTCAAGATGTCTAAATCTAGCTTGGGGTGCCAAGCTGGGCCAGCAGCGGGGTGGGGGGGGTGGCTAACGACATGTTTGTTGCTCGCAACGCCTGTCAGTAAAACCCAAAAACCGTGTCACCCGCGCGCCATCTGCACGTGACTCGACTCGTCCATTGCGGGGTGTGACGTCAGCCAAACACCTGACACCGCAGCTCCGGGGTCCTGCTAGGCTGGCTCGGGCACAGTGCCAGAACTGCTTGGTTGTACGGTGGAGGAGAAGGGGGTCAGTGGTGTGAGAGATGTTTTAAACTCGGGTACACTGTGTTCGGGACGAAGGTCTTCAAAGTTTCTGTACCCCCCCCCCCCCTTCCCTTCGTTGCGATTTGTGTTCCGTACCGGGCTCCCATTTAAATATATTTGTTTTTAAAGTAGGCACGTGCAGATCCACCCTCCTCTCCACGATTCCATGAATCCGCCACAATTCTCTTGGGGTTCATGTTGAGAATCTCAAGTGGATTTTTTTTTAATGTTCTCATGGTTTGCGTCAAACTGGGTTCTTCAATTGGTGGCCCCTGGGACGGATGTGGCTTTTTGAGGGGCGTGCCTAGACGTACAGTTGACAGATTTTTAAATGAAAGAGATGTGAACTAGGGAGAGAGGTTAGAGCTATAGGCAGAACATAAAGGTGATCTCTTGTACGCAGCTCTGTAGCCACAATTTTGCAAGTTGGGGCATTCCACTAACGATTGGTTGCCAAGTGGTAATTGCTTATATTACAGTGCCGCAGGGTCATAGGCGTCGCCGGTAATAGGGCCGCAGACAATTGGCCCTTCTCCTGTGCCGTAATTGTGTACTTTCTGTGCACTTGCTGTGTATTTAAAGGTTCGAACATCAGCACACGGGGGCCTTGATGTCACCTTGTTCAATAGAGTAGAATACGGACTCGATAACACCAGGATTTTTGTCCACTATTTTATTGGTACCTCCTAGCCATATCTACACGTGTCATGGGTGTCTCCTAGCCATATCTACACGTGTCATGGGTGTCTCCTAGCCATATCTGCACGTGTCATAGGTGTCTCCTAGCCATATCTACACGTGTCATGGGTGTCTCCTAGCCATATCTACACGTATCATGGGTGTCTCCTAGCCATATCTACACGTGTCATGGGTGTCTCCTAGCCATATCTGCACGTGTCATGGGTGTCTCCTAGCCATGTCTACACGTGTCATGGGTGTCTCCTAGCCATATCTACACGTGTCAAGGGTGTCTCCTAGCCATATTTACACGTGTCATGGGTGTCTCCTAGCCATATCTGCACGTGTCAAGGGTGTCTCCTAGCCATATCTACACGTGTCAAGGGTGTCTCCTAGCCATATTTACACGTGTCATGGGTGTCTCCTAGCCATATCTACACGTGTCATGGGTGTCTCCTAGCCATATCTACACGTGTCAAGGGTGTCTCCTAGTCATATCTACACGTGTCATGGGTGTCTTCTAGCCATATCTACACGTGTCATGGGTGTCTCCTAGCCATATCTACACGTGTCAAGGGTGTCTCCTAGCCATATCTACACGTGTCAAGGGTGTCTCCTAGCCATATTTACACGTGTCATGGGTGTCTCCTAGCCATATCTACACGTGTCATGGGTGTCTCCTAGCCATATCTACACGTGTCATGGGTGTCTCCTAGCCATATCTGCACGTGTCATGGGTGTCTCCTAGCCATGTCTACACGTGTCATGGGTGTCTCCTAGCCATATCTACACGTGTCAAGGGTGTCTCCTAGCCATATTTACACGTGTCATGGGTGTCTCCTAGCCATATCTACACGTGTCAAGGGTGTCTCCTAGCCATATCTACATGTGTCAAGGGTGTCTCCTAGCCATATTTACACGTGGCATGGGTGTCTCCTAGCCATATCTACACGTGTCATGGGTGTCTCCTAGCCATATCTACACGTGTCAAGGGTGTCTCCTAGCCATATCTACACGTGTCATGGGTGTCTTCTAGCCATATCTACACGTGTCATGGGTGTCTCCTAGCCATATCTACACGTGTCATGGGTGTCTCCTAGCCATATCTACACGTGTCATGGGTGTCTCCTAGCCATATCTATACGTGTCAAGGGTGTCTCCTAGCCATATCTACACGTGTCGTGGGTGTCTTCTAGCCATATCTACACGTGTCATGGGTGTCTCCTAGCCATGTCTATATGTGTCAAGGGTGTCTCCTAGCCATGTCTACACGTGTCATGGGTGTCTCCTAGCCATGTCTACACGTGTCATAGGTGTCTCCTAGCCATATCTACATGTGTCAAGGGTGTCTCCTAGCCATATCTACACGTGTCATGGGTGTCTCCTAACCATGTCTAGTCAAGTGTCATGGGTGTCTCCTAACCATGTCTAGTCACGTGTCATGGGTGTCTCCTAACCATGTCTAGTCACGTGTCATGGGTGTTTCCTAGCCATGTCTAGTCACGTTGTGGTTGTCCGTACACCCCCGACACCCCCACCGTGGCTGCACGCCTGGCACCACCACTAACTCTTTATCGGCCGCTGTTTGTGCAGGGTCCATGTCGTCGTCATCTCTCAACGCCACAACGCTGCCTTCCTCCAGTGCCTGGTCCCTCGGTGCCTCTGGCCACAGCCACCGCAATGGCTTCACCCCCTCATTCTCTGCTGCAGGTGCTGTGGGACCTGATGCTCTTATCTCGTTTATTCTTTAATTCTTATTCACTTGCCGAACGCGTTGCATTGTTAGGTGCGCCCCGCCAATAACCAAATCGCCCGGAATGCGCCAGAATCCGGTCAGGTCTTGGAAGCTAAGCTGGGTTGAGCCGGGACTGTGCTTGGATGGGCAACCACCACCATGTCTGAAACAGGCATTTTTGGGCTGCTGCGGGGCTATGTTGTCAGCAGATGGCAGCAGTGCAGCAAACTCCGGTGTTGCACTGTGCTCTGCTGCAATTTCTGTGCTCCCCACCCCATCAATTATCACTGGATAATGTGGCGAAGTATGGTCAATAAACCCTCGCGGACCCACGCAGCGTCGGGTAGCCGTCATCCAGCAGTGGATTGATGAGAGGGCTGTACATGTACATCCCTAGCATCCCATATATTCACGCTCGGTTATGCATTAGAGCTCCCCCCTTATGATTGGCCACAGCCTACCCTGTTGAGAGCTAGAATATTCACTATCCTACCCGCCACCAAGATTACTACAGAACTGTATTGACAATGCCTAGCGTGGCGCACACTTAATCATCTGTCGGGTCCTTACTGCCTTGGTGTAATGGTAACGCCACACTGGACTTATAATACAGAGGTCACCACATAGCAGGATGAATGAGTAACGTCACAGTCGATCGGTAAGGTCGTGTGTATTGAGGAAAAGTGTGGGTACTCCCACCCCTTCGAAGGTATGTGTTCTGTGTGGATGAGTAGGCCAAATACTCTTTCGAGGGGCTCTCCAGAGCTTCCTCTAGTGGAGGAGACCCTTCCGCCAGCAGTGGCATTTGCAAGCAGTTGCAGGGGCTGCACTTTTACCCCTGTGTCTTTACGTGAACTGCACCACTCACTCCCTGCTGTTCCTTTGCATCTGCCGTGCCCCTCATCCCCCCCCCCCCCCACAAACTCTTACAACCCACCCACAACGCCCCCTACCCACAACCCCATCGCCACAACCCGCTGCAACCCACCCACACAACCTCTTCCCCCACAGCCAAAATCTCAGAGGCTAAGTCGGCGTGGACTCCCGGTGCGTCCCTGAGCCACGAGCTGTGGAAGGTGCCGCTGAACGGGGGGGGCCGCGGGCTGTCCGGTGGGCCTCGGCCACCGCCGGGCCTTCCCGGGCTCAGGCAGCCGTCGCTGTGGCCCTCGGGACGCTGGGAAGGCACTGAGGCAGGCCGTCTCCCCCCGCCAGGTGAGGAAGAAGAGGAGGAGGCGGCGCTGTGACGAGGACATTAGAAGGTCGCACTCATTACACACAGACGTAAAGTGGCGGATTACGATGTTCAAATGGATCGTACGACTCGATCGACTAAATCGTTCCTAAGCTGTGGCCTTCTCCCCAATCGCTTTCAAGTCGACACGACGTTGCGAACTCCTCTTGCGTTTCTCCGCTTGCCTCCGTCTCCGAAGCGTCGAGTTGGAGCGGCGATTCCTGCGGCGGTGGCGGCGGCGGCGGCGGCGGCGGCCTGGGTCGTTCCAGCACCTGGCTGGTGCTGCGCAACCTCACCCCGCAGGTAACGAGGGAGGGGGGGCGGAGGGTGGTGGGGGGGGGGGGTCACGCACGGTTTCGCCACTCAACCGCCCGTCAGGAGCTTCCTCGACTCCTGCCTTGGCCGCAAGGTGGGGGGGGGGACCCTTAGCCGTGGTTGCTATCGAACGGCCCCCGGTTAAAAGCGCCTCCGATGAAGTCGCCCCCAGAAGGCGGGGGGGCTACCCCCCCCCCCCCCCCCCCCCCCCACTCTTCTCAAACTTCAGGAGTTGCCACGGCTCGCCAGGGGGGGACGGGGTAGGGGACAGTGCAGCAAAATTAATGTCTTTTCTCGCGTCAAATTGCTACTTGCTCTCAGTGCAAGCGTCATTTACTTTAAAAAAATTGGTCTTCACGTCAACTCGTGTTTTTAGCCGACCTTGGGGGCTGACCAGAGGACGGAGTCGAGGATGCAACGTCAGCGGCATCCGTCGCAACGGCTCTTTGACCTTTGCGGGTGAGCGAGGAGCACCTCGCGAAATGTTTACAACGCCGCCCTTCCGACCGCCCCCCTCCCCGTGCCGTGTTGCACGCGTGCAGATCGACGGCTCGACGCTGCGCACGCTCTGCATGCAGCACGGCCCTCTCATCACCTTCCACCTGAGCCTGGCGCACGGCAACGCCCTCGTGTGCTACAGCTCCATCGCCGAGGCGGCAAAGGCCCAGAAGTCCTTGCACATGTGAGTACGAGGGGGGTGTGTGCGCGTGTCAACGACTTGGGGGTGTCCGTTACTCGCTAGTGTGTTTATGCGTTTGTGAGCATGCCTGTCTGCAATGCAATGTAGTGGTGAGCTGGAGTGGAACGGTTGGCGCACTGCGCTACGAACCCAGTGGCCAGAGTTCGATTCCCGCTCATCGCCAACACCAATTACGAATATCTGAACCGGTCCTGGGTGTCCCCTAGGTCGACTTCGGCCTCAAATGAATAGCTGTTGCCGTGTGTAAACATGGCCACTGGGGAGACAGGCAGTTGGGCGTGGTGCTGTCCACCCACCCGCTCGTGTGCCGTGCTCGCGAACAGCACTTGCCCCAACAGTCTGTTAAGGCTATACGGGGGGATCTTTGTCTCCGTTGTCTGCAATTTAAGCGTAGCGGTTAGTGTGCCGCGCTACGAATCCGGCGACCCGAGTTCGATTCCTCCTCATGGCCAGCATCGGCGGCTGATATCTGAAACCAATCCTGGGCACCCTTCTGTGTTCGCCTGCTGCTGCGCTGTTTATACATCGCATCCCAGCACCGTGCGGTGCATCTATAAACTATTGCCACCGTGGTGCAGCGTACCTCACAAACACGAGCTCTTATCGTCCTCACGTCCACACCCCCCCCCCCACCCACGTGGCCTAGGTGCGTGCTGGGAAACACCACCATCGTGGCGGAGTTCGCCACTGACGAGGAGATCAGCCGTTTCTTCTCTCAGCCGGGACATTCGGCCGCTCCGGGCTGGCCGCCGGCGCCCGGCCCAGCGCCGTCCTCCAACCTCGACTCGGTCAACGGCGGCCAAGGTCAAGGCCGGGGGCCGGTGTCGGCCGACAACTGGAGCGTGGGCGACGAGGGGGGCGGCACCGGCTCCCTGTGGAGCGTGCCGTCCCCGTACAATTCGGCGGCGCCGTCCGCCAGCGCTGGCATGTGGGGCGGCGGCGGCGGCGGCGGCGGCGGCAACGGCGGCGGAGACGGGACGCGTGGCAGGCTCGGCAGCCCGCCACCACCTCCCCTAAATTCCTTCTTGCCCGGGGACCTGCTCGGAGGGGAGGCCATGTGAAACGTGCCGTGTGCTTTCTGGTCGGCGGCGGGGGGGAAGGCTTGGAAAGTTCCGCGAGGGGGGGGTGCCCCGACGGGTTTTGCTGGCGCGTTGGTGTTGGTGGGAGGACGTGGTGGCGAGGACTCTCGGCGCCAGCTTCTTCGCGCCTCCTTCAGCCGACGCCTTCCGAGACGGCGTTGGCGCCCGAGGGGGGAGGTTCTCGCCGGCGGCGACCGCCACGCCGCCGCCGCCGCCGCCATGGTTTGGTGGGGGGGGGGGGCGACATGGAACGCGCAAAGGAGGGACGTTTGTCCATTTCTCACGCAAATGACAAAACAACAAAAGAAAAAAAGAATTGACCTGAATCATTCTCATCACTTATAGCACTTTCTGTGGGGAAAACAAAAAAAAAACAGATACTATGAATACTACAGTGTAATTTCAGTGAACTTCATAATCTAGATTTTCACACTAGCACTCGGCTGTGGTTGAGAGGATGATGCAGCCCAGTCTCTTAATACCTTTTTGTAGAAAGGATTTCGTACGTGACTTTACTGGTTTGAGCGTTTACGCTTGACGTGCAAACACTATGGTTTGGAAGCCAATGGAAGTGGAATGGAAAGTGAAACGAACACATTACAAACAAGGGGGAGTTGGTGGGACGGGGCGGGGGGGGGTTTGTATTTTACTTTTCCAATGCCTTGCGGGTGGGTGTAGTGGGGGGGGGGGCGCGAGCCAAATCCACAGCTTGTAGTGAACACTCGCACACACGCACAACACACACTCTTCCTCTGTTTGCAAAAGATAGGGAGCCAGTATATGTATTAGTACAGTACATTCCTTTCCCTGCTGCTTACGGCCCCCCCCCACCTTATTTAGTAGCGCCCCCCCCACACAGTGCCGTGGGCCACTCTGTCTGGGTCACGAGCATACTGCACAAGTCATTCAACCGTGGCAGAATCCTGCAAGAAGCCGAGACACAAAACAGGCCCCGAGCATCTTACTACAATGCCACTGGACCCCCCCCCCCCCCCGCCCGCCCCTTCCTTTACCGACCCTCACTCACTGGGCAGGTGGCAGCAGCAGTGGCGGAGTCGCAAGAATCCCGTGACCCACAAACTCCACGTCGCTAGTCCACCCCAGACTGATCACGTCCTCTTGTCTCTTCACCCCTCCCACCCCCCCCGGTCCGCCCCCACTCCTAGCACCTAGACTCCACACGTCTCTCTCTCTCTCTGTCCACCCGGCACTCCCGCACGCCGTCCTCTTTGCAGGTTCACCGAGTCCTCGCTACTACTGCTACTCTATGCTCCTATGCAAAAATGGCCAGAGAGGCATTGAGATTATACAAATGCCGCCGGTACGATTGCACACAAAACCCTCCCTCGCGAGTCTTCTGTGAAATTCTAGATGCTTGGGAAAAAAAACGTTCTCAAAAAAAAAAAAACTTAACTTGGAGCGTGCATAGTTTACAAGACCCTGGCGTTTGAGCAACAACGGGTTGGTGCCGCGCGCGTGGCAAATCAAACTGCGGACTGTTTAGGCGGAAGCCACTAAGCCGGATTTTTGTGGGTGGGTTGGAGTGGCGACGAGGTGGTGGCGGTTGGATGCCGTGGCAGTTTGAACAGACGTCACGCCGTGCACGCGCGTGTGGTTCATTTGACGGAAGACGCCCGATAGCAGCTTCACATTGCCTTGGACATTGCAAATTTGGTGTTCAGCTCGAGTCGTCCACTGCACTGCCACACGCCGAGAGGAGGCCTCTTCACGCACGGCAGCGAAAATCCACGTGGCACTCCGGGAGGTGCCGGGTGGGTGGGTGGGGGGTTCAGCCGGTGTTCAGGTCACTGCGCTTGTTGTCAGCACCGTTTCTTTTTCTGCAAGCAATTGTGCCCCGGGGCCACCGCGCGCTACCGAGCGGCGCTCGCTCGTGTGCCGTCGCGCCCCCCACCTTCCCCCCACCTTCCCCCCACCTCGCCCCCCCCCCCCCCCCCCCCCAGCATTGGCGGAGGGTCTCTCCGTTGCGCGGGGGTGGGGTCCGTCCGTCTCATTCGCATCGTCACGTCCGTTCCCCCCTGTGCGGCTTATCTCAGTCCTACCGCAACGGTTTGCACACATCTCGAATCATCTTCTCCAAAGTGCTCGCAGTTTCCAACTTTAAAAAAAAAAATCATGATGAATTTTAAAACAACAAAAAACTTTTCTGACTTTCGTTTTGCTTGTGTTTCTGTGGCGCAGTAGGCTGCTCTGGTTGTGTGTAAACGTTGCAGTATCTTGTTTGAGCTGAAGCCAATCGAGCCCTACTTTCTCTCTACAATAGCAATCATACGGGGGGGGCCCGCATTTCGCAGAATGTAAAGTTTATCGCTGGTATCTCAACAGGTTGGGCTTTGGGAGTTGAGAATCGGGACACTTACGTGAGCACACTGGTGATTTTCAAAGCCTGTGGTTATGACCATCATCTTCTTGCATCCAAAACATATCGAGTCCAATACTTGAATCATTCAGGCCAAATAAAAAGTAAAAAAAAAAAAGTTTTTGGGAGGGTTTTTTTGATGTTGATGAAAACCACATTAATAGCGCTGAGCCGGGTACAGCTTAGCAAGCAAGCAGCAGAAGAAGAAGAAAAATCCCTTTAGATTCCTTAGAGGACAATTTTTTTTTTTAGTAGTCGTAATTAGTAAGTGTGTGGTGTACTTGGTTAGTCGATATGTCGTGGTTCCCGGTGTTGTTGCGCTGTACAGACGCGGTGACTCGCCACCGTGCGCTCGCGTTGTCGATGTCGGTTCTTGGCAATGCACTGAGCGCATCGCTGCCAAGCGATGCGCGCTAAAGGAACCCTTCCCCCTCTCCCCCTGCAGGCGACGCTTCACGTTTAAAACGCAGTTTACTTGACGAGTGTTTTAATCACAATTGTTATAACTTCCCCCGGTTTCGTTTTAGTTGACATTTAACTCATCCCCTCCCCTCCCCCCAAATTTTAGTTAATCTCCCATCAATCATGAAGGCGTTAGACCGCGAGAGCTCCAACCTCCGAACCTAATGCTACGTTGTTTTGTTTAATTTCCGGAAGAGGAGGAAGGAAAAATAACTTAAACAAAGCTTTGAAAGACAAGAAAACGTTTTACGTTACGGAAAAAAAAAAAATGAAAAAAAAGTTGAAAATCTAAAAAAAAATGTAAACGCCGTCGTCGTCGTCATCATCGTCGATCGTGGTGAAGCTTTTGCACCGTTCTCGTGGAGTGGCGGTGAATGAGAAGTTGGTAATCAATGTGCACTTGAGAGAGAGCGAGAGAGTAGCATTGCTACCCCCCCCCCCCCCTCTGGCCAGAGAAGAATGAAGGCTTTTTTTTGAGAATTAAAAAAAGCAAAGCAAAGCACTTGCAGAAGAGCCCTGGATGTAAGTTGGGAGGAGCCTGAAAGATTCCAGGCACCCTCTTGTTTACAGAACTTTCTTCCTGGATCTTGAGCTTTCACTCGTTACAAAAAAAAAGACTTTTTAGTTTAAAATGAAAAATTCAACCCCCCCCCACCACCTGTACGGCCAAGTCGCCCCCCACAGTACACGGTTGCGGGAAGAATAAAGAACGTACGACCTTGGAAGTGTGAAAACTGTTGTCGAAGCCATTGGATGGGATCCCTGTCGTTTGGTTTTCCACCAAAAAAAAAGCCGAGCGAGCGAAGGAAAGATGTTGTTGTCATTATTATTTAAGAAGACGAAAAAAACAATTCTGAAGCAAAGAGAAATAAAACTCAGGTTCCCATCAGAGGAGAGGCGCCTTTCTCTGAACCCTTTATAACCTCCAGCCATTAAAAAAAAAATGGTAATCCTCTGCTGCGTTGTAATTTTGCATTAACGGTAATCGCCTGCCAAAACGTGAGGAGCCCAAGTCGTCCCCGTAGCGCGTGAAAGTTTGGTTGCATTCTATACGGGAGGTGGCAAGCCCTGATTGGTCTCCATAACCCTGTTGTCTCGCGACCACTGCAACCACAGTTGTCGCCGAGTCTTAATAATTTGATTTTCTTTCAAGTTTGTTGGGGTGGTGGGGGGGGTTGCTTTCTTTGTTTGCTGCCATAAACGTGCGCAAAGTGTTAGTCCCGTTTTGCACATTTCGGTACAACAACAAATGGGGAAAATTTAAAACAAATCTTTTTCCAAACACCGCTTTGGTGGTGGTCGTGCAAGCTCTCTTAGTTGCCTGCAGCATTTGCGCCGCGCATGTAATAAAAGGGGACCGGGTTTTTGGCACCTCCTGCTTGGAATTCAATCTCGCTTGAACCGACCGGGCTATGTGGTTGTGTGCCGACAAAAAGTGCAAAGTTTTTCAATCATGCTTTACGTGTTTGTTTATTTGATAGTATTAGTGGACGAAAATGAAGGTTTGTTACTTGTTACAAGTGCACTGCCGACACGTTTTTCTTGTTTGGAGGTTTTATGTTATAATAATTATCATCACCAAGTTGTGGATTATTCGATGTGTCCCCCCCCTCCCTCCCAAGGGAATTTCGCGTTGGTGTTGAGCGCGTGTGGTTAGGTTTCATTGCCGATTTCTTTGGCTGCTGTGTGCTTATGGAAAAAAAAATAAGGCTGATGTAGCAAACTTAGCGGCTCTAGAGAGACTATGCATAATTGAAGTTCAAAAAAACGAGACGAGAAATATTTACAAATGTTTTTGCCCGTTACCCTTTGTTCCCGTTACTCGATTTGAACTCGTGTGTGGTCATACGAGCACGGGGGAGGGGTAACGTGTAAGTATGGTGTAGTAGGATTATAAACAACAACAAAGTGATAACTTAATTTACACCCGGGTTTAGAGGACAGGCGTTTGTGAGCAAGAAAAAAATGTTTTGACTTGAAACTCCATGAGACGTCAAAGATGATGCTGCCTTGTCAAGAAACGAGACCTCGACTAAACGGCGCGGAGTTTGGTGCATTTAAAACGTCGATTAGGTACTTACAACAAACAACGTTTTTTTTGCTGATTGAGAATGTTACCATAATGTGAAGCAGTTACAGTACTTTAAAACAAGTTGACTCATTTTAAGAATAAATGTCTTGCTTAGCACACGTTTAGTTTCTCTGTGGCTCCTTGTATTAACGTGCCAAATTTTTGCCAGTGTACGATAATGCTTACGGCCTGTGTTGCTGAATAACGAGTGTTGAAAGCAGCATAAATGTGGGTACTGTGCATGCGTGTTTCTTTCTTGTGTGGCTGTGTGTGTGTGCCAACGTACGCATGTGTACGTCAGAGAATGAGCAGGCTTACCGCAGCCTTCGCTCGGAGGTGGAGAGCCGTGCGGCGCTGCAATGATGGGTGGTGGTCACGGGTTGCTAAGGAGATGGAGTTTGCCTCAGTAACCCGCGATCACATATCACTCTAACTCCTTCAAAAAGGAACTTTCAGTGCCTCACCTATCATCATCATTAGGGGAAAAGAAAGGTGATCCGATCTCTGACCCCCAGGAACAGGCTTGCAGATTTGCTGAGCATTTCTGTGAGTTCTTGGGGGAGGGGAAATCCCTTGGCCTGGAAAGCATCATGGGGCAAAGTGGGGATGACCCTGCTGAGGCTGCGGTGCCTCAAATATTGAAAGAAGTCGTCACTCCCTGTGAGTGGCTTGCTGAAGTTCCATCTGTCGAAGTACAGAAGGTCATCCAGAGTCTAAGAGTAGGAAAAGCACCGGGCAGAGATAATCTTCCAAGCAAAATCCAAAGGGAGGGTGGCGTTTGTGCGCAGACTTCCCTATGTGACATAATGACAGTGAACCACCGGATGGGTTCCACAGAATTGGAAGGATGCTCTGGTGGTTCCCCCTCTTTAAGAAGGGGGACCGCACAGACTAAAACAACTACAGGGGCATTTCCATCCGAAGTGTGCCAGAAAGGTCCTGGCAAGGATTATTCAACATCGCCTTGCCAGGCACGCTGAGGAGAGGCTTGCAGAACCCCAATGTGGTTTCAGGAAAGTGCCATATTTTCTGTCCGTCTGCTAGAGCAGAGGTGTAGGGAATTCCAACAAGACCTACATCTCTGCTTTATTCACCTGGGCGCAAGGCCTATGATACCATCAGTAGACCTGGGCTCTGGGTTGTTCATCGTGCTTTCTGAGTTCCTCACTGCTTACAATCATTAAGGACCTTCATGATGGTGAGCAGGCCCGAGTAAAACTTCGTGACTGGGAACCTGAACCATTCCCTGTTCACCTTGGGGTGCAACAGGGGTGTCCTCTGGCTCCCGCATTATTTAACATTTCGACCACGTAGTTCATGAAGTCTTCGATGGCTATATCGGAGAAATTGCCATCTGGTACAAATACAATGGGAGTCTGATCGATGCCCGGGTGTGGTCAAGGGATGGCTCCCTATTGGTCAACCATGTCATAGGTGTCGATGATTTGGTGATTGCTGCTCAGAGGATGAGTTGGATGTGCTGTTGCTGAACCTGGAGCTTGCCACTAAGAGGTGGAGCCTTACCATCAGCCCCACCAAAACTATGCGCCTGCCTGGATATTTTGTGCCATCGGACACTCCATCCCCACAACTCCCAATTGGTCATGGGGCAGTTATGGAGAGTGTTCAATACCTTTGGCAGTGTGCTCATGACCGGCTCTGCTTTTACAGGAGAGGTCTCTGAATCAGTTGAGTGGCATTATTTTGTCATCGGCTGTGTAATGCTGCGTGGAAGCTACCTGGTCTGTCGTTCCACATTCAGCTTCGGGTCTTCTTGGCCACAGTTATACCCTCCCGTCTCTGTGCTTGTGAAACGTGGACACCTCTAATGGAACATCTTCGCCGGTTAGAAACATTTCGGCTAGCCTGCCTACGATCCATCCTGGGTTGAACCAGGCTGGATTGTGAAAAGCTCACATCCTTGAAAGATCAGGACAAAGTCCCATCGGTGAGCTCCAGTAGAGAAGGTAGCGTTGGCTGGGTCATGTCGCTCACATGCCGAAACAGCTTTTGTACGGCCGGATAGGGATAAACGGGCACGGCATGGGCTAGAGAAGAGATAGTGATGTGGTACAAGAGGATGTGGAGCTGAGTGGACCTGCTGGTGACTGGTACCAGCGGTGTAAAGATCACCCTTTGTGGAGGAGGTTCGTGGAGGACGCTACTTGGCAGAGGAGAAGAGCGACGCTCACAAAAACGTACAGAGCGCTGGATGGCTAAAACACAGCAAGTTGGCACAGTTGGGGGCACAGGTTGTGCATCGACCAGTCAATCGACCCCAAGGCAACCTGGGTTTGTCCCGTGACCTGCCAGTGCGCGTTTGACACTTCACGTGGCCTTAACATGCACATAGCCTGGCACAAGCGCCGTCGTGATGTCGCCGTCACTTAATGACGGACGTGTGGGGAGCAGTTAGCGGTTACCGCGCTGTGTCACGAACCCGGCGACTTGCGTTCGATTCCCGCTCGCGGCCAACACCAGTGACGATTATCTGAACCGGTCCTGGGCCGCCTCCCCTCGGTCGACTCCGCCTCAAATGAGTACCTGGTGTGGTGTGTAAGCATCGCCACTGGGGAGACAAAGGCGGCCGGGCGTGGTGCTGGCCACCCACCCCCTTGTGTACCACCCCGGCCTCCGTAGGTGCTACTCGCCAACAGCACTTGCCCCTACAGATCTTTGTGCAAGATAACGGATGGCAGCGGAGTGACGTTCACAACAAAGAGTGGAGCTCACCTGGATGGCGAAAACGCAGTAAGGTAGCAGAGTGGTGGTGAGCATTTTCCAGTCTTCTCGGTCCGCTCACCCACAACCACCAGAGTCTTATCCCTCGACCGACTTACCAGCGAGCTTTTGCCCCCCCCCCCGCCCCGTATTTGGCCTCAAATTGCGCCTAGCCTGGCGCAGGCCTTGTAACGACTTCACCATCACTTGGTGGGTAGACCAGAGGGTCGGAAAACCGAAATAACGAGATGGAGACATTTTATACAAATGTTGGTTGAGCGAATCAACAATTTCAAGAGGCCGCAACGTGGCGAATCGCGGTGGCCTCCTTGCAGAACGTCCCGAAGCGGTTCTTAAAAGGGCCGCACGCAGACTCGGTAGCCGCAGGTTGCTTGCCACTGTGGGTAAACCCAGGAGAACCGTCTCCTGCACAGCGCGCACGGATGGGGGCGGTGAAGCCGGCAGTCGCTCCCCTTCCCCATTGCTGTGCTTTTGAGATGCCACTCGAGGACGAGTCGAACTCGAAGGGGTTGGGAGGCCCAGGACCAGTTCCGTTCAAGCCGTGACTTGGACTAGAACTCTGGATTTGTGGGTTCATCGTGCGGTGTGCGATCCGCTGCATCGCTGCTTCGACACTGCAGTATGAAAAAAAATCGCTTCTTATAGTGCAGACGATATCGCATGGCATGGTTGGGAAATTCCATTAAGGGGCCGTCATCGGTCGATTGGTTGGTTTATTACCCGCACGGCGAGCTTTCATCCACCGAAGTTGTTAGCAAAGTTTGACTTAGAGGTTGGAAAGGTCCCCCAACTTAATATTAATTACAGGGACTCTTCTACATACGAACATTCGGCTTGCGTAGTTTCAGAGATACGAACAAACCGGTCCGTATGTCGAGTTTCCTGTTCGGACTGAGAGTCGTAAGTTCAACCGCCGTGCAATAGATGGCGGTGGTGGCATCTACATCTACAGAACACGATGAATTGGTGGCATACACAGGAGATTAAACAAGCCATTCCCCGTGTTTAGTGTACGGCATTGCCGTACAACATGTTTGGAATCGACAGGAGTAAAGTTGGACTTGCGAACAAATTTACTTACGAACAGAAACCTCTCGAGCCTAATGCGTTCGTAAGTAGAGGATTCCCTGTACCAAAGAACCGCGTGGCAGAACATCCAAGGAATCGCGTGTTAGAAAGACCTCTTCTTTATATCCCCTGGGCCATACCATTGGCAAAGCCGGGAGACTCGGACTTAGTTACCGTGGATGCGGTTCAGGGGCTGTGGCCCAGAAGCTTCAGGGAGGCGAAGTAAGCCGTGGCGTGGGCTGGGGATCTCTCTCACGAGGAGGTCTTTTGTGAATGTTTTGTTGTTGTTGTGATCTCCATTCGTCATCGGGGTCAAAGTGGCGTCGTTGGAAGTCCGCGGTGGCAGCGTGATAGAAGTTGCCCAACTGGAGAGACAAAGGCGGCCGGGCGTGGTTTGCTGGCCACTCGTGCGTAGTATCGGGCTTTAATATAGATGCTCGCCCAACAGCACTTGCACCCCCCCCCCCCAAACAGCCCCCCCCCCCCGGCACATTGCCCAACGTTTCGCTGTCAACTGCCGCGGTGCTTTCCTTCCCTCGCACGAGGGCGCCACCGTTCGCAGGTCGCCTCCGCTTCGGCCCAGTGGGGCTCGGCAAAGTGCGGCTGTGACGAGGGCTGTGACGAAGGCTGTGACGAGGGCTGTGACGAAGGCTGTGACGAGGGCTGTGACGAGGGCTGTGACGAAGGCTGTGACGAGGGCTGTGACGAGGGCTGTGACGAAGGCTGTGACGAGGGCTGTGACGAGGGCTGCGACGAGGGCTGCGTCGAGGGCTGTGTCGAGGGCTGTGACGAGGGCTGTGACGAGGGCTGTGACGAGGGCTGCGACGAGGGCTGTGTCGAGGGCTGTGACGAGGGCTGTGTCGAGGGCTGTGTCGAGGGCTGTGACGAGGGCTGTGTCGAGGGCTGTGACGAGGGCTGCGTCGAGGGCTGTGACGAGGGCTGTGACGAGGGCTGTGTCGAGGGCTGTGTCGAGGGCTGTGACGAGGGCTGCGACGAGGGCTGTGTCGAGGGCTGTGACGAGGGCTCTGACGAGGGCTGCGTCGAGGGCTGTGTCGAGGGCTGTGACGAGGGCTGTGACGAAGGCTGTGACGAGGGCTGTGTCGAGGGCTGTGACGAGGGCTGTGTCGAGGGCTGTGACGAGGGCTGTGTCGAGGGCTGTGACGAGGGCTGCGACGAGGGCTGTGTCGAGGGCTGTGACGAGGGCTCTGACGAGGGCTGCGTCGAGGGCTGTGTCGAGGGCTGTGACGAGGGCTGTGACGAAGGCTGTGACGAGGGCTGTGTCGAGGGCTGTGACGAGGGCTGTGACGAGGGCTGCGTCGAGGGCTGTGACGAGGGCTCTGACGAAGGCTGTGACGAGGGCTGTGACGAGGGCTGCGACGAGGGCTGTGTCGAGGGCTGTGACGATGGCTGCGACGAGGGCTGTGACGAGGGCTGCGTTCGCGACGCTGTGTCGACTTGAGCACCGCCGCCCGTCTCGTGCTCACCGCACGGTGCACTGCGGCTTCTTGAAATGTTGTGTTGCTTGCACCGTGCAATGGCCCTTCCTTCGTAGCACTTTGGTGGGGGTTGGGGGGGGGGAGGTTGAGGGCACATTGCCCGAAACGTCGCCTGTTCTACATTGTTGCCTTTTTTCAAGCCGCAGTGTTATGGGACGGATGTGTTAAGTTGTTGATGTCGATGTTGGGGGCCGTCCGTAAATGACGTCACGCACCTTGGAGGTGGGGGGGGGTTCGAGAAATGTGACGTCACATCAAAATGCGCAACTTTAAATAAATATTGACAACACGTTCCACTTAAAGACTGTTTTTTTAAATAAATGTTTTCTCCTAAAACATCAGAGTGCAGCGCCACATTAGATACGCACTGCAATGACAATAGTTTAAAGCGATTTGAAGCAGGTTTTATTTTTTGGGGGGGAAGGGGGCAGAGATTTGTGACGTCATATTTGAGGGGGGGGTCTGACTTTTTGTGACGCCGTGTGACGAAGCGGGGGGGGGGGGGGTCAAAAAATCCTCCAAAATCGCGTGACGTCATTTATGGACGGCCCCTTGTTGGTCTGTGCTTAGTGCACCACTGCACAAGCAGCAGCAGCAGCAGCAGCATTATTAACAACATTCGTTGAAAATATATATATTTTTTAATTCACCCGGACTAAAATTAATAATAATTTCATTTTATACAGCGTCATTCGTGCAATTGCATCCCACAACGCTGAGCCAGTTCCTTACACAGATGACGCAAAAACACAAAACACCACTCACTATCCCTCGCCGTGAGTGAACGTCTCGGTTTTTCCACTTTGCCAATTGTTTTATACAAACATTCGAAATCTTTAACTTACACGGTGGCTAGGAGATGTTAGCTACCTCGCCTGGTTCACAGGAGTTCGTGGGTTCGATCCCGACCCTGACGCCTGCTGCTGCTGTATATTTAGAGTTTGCGTGTCTCTCTCTCATCATCACGGTGGCTAGGAGATGTTAACTACCTCGCCTGGTATACAACAATGAGGTGGTGGGTTCGATCCCGACCCTGACGCCTGCTGCTGCTGTATATTTAGAGTTTGCGTGTCTCTCTCTCTCATCATCACGGTGGCTAGGAGATGTTAACTACCTCGCCTGGTATACAACAAGGAGTTCGTGGGTTCGATCCTGACCCTGACGCCTGCTGCTGCTGTATATTTGGAGTTTGCGTGTCTCTCTCTCTCATCATCACGGTGGCTAGGAGATGTTAACTACCTCGCCTGGTATACAACAAGGAGTTCGTGGGTTCGATCCTGACCCTGACGCCTGCTGCTGCTGTATATTTGGAGTTTGCGTGTCTGTCTCTCTCATCATCACGGTGGCTAGGAGATGTTAACTACCTCGCCTGGTATACAACAAGGAGGTGGTGGGTTCGATCCCGACCCTGACGCCTGCTGCTGCTGTATATTTGGAGTTTGCGTGTCTGTCTCTCTCATCATCACGGTGGCTAGGAGATGTTAACTACCTCGCCTGGTATACAACAAGGAGGTGGTGGGTTCGATCCCGACCCTGACGCCTGCTGCTGCTGTATATTTGGAGTTTGCGTGTCTCTCTCTCTCATCACCATCACGGTGGCTAGGAGATGTTAACTACCTCGCCTGGTATACAGGAGGTCGTGGGTTCAATCCCGACCCTGACGCCTGCTGCTGTATATTTGGAGTTTGCGGTGTCTCTCTTTCTCATCATCATCACCATGGTGGCTAGGAGATGTTAACTACCTCGCCTGGTATACAGGAGGTCGTGGGTTCGATCCCGACCCTGACGCCTGCTGCTGTATATTTGGAGTTTGCGTGTCTCTCTCTCTCTCTCCCCGTGGTCACGTGGATTTTTCTCCTGGGCCTCCGAGTTGTGTTCCTTCCACGTTCATGATGAACATGCGTTCAGTGTTTGGCTGCGATACATTGTCTACATGACGATACGTCACTTCGTTGAGCAATCAATTGTGGCCAGGTCGCTTTTTAAAAAAGAGCTAAACAGCTCAGTGGGCCCTACCTGGTAAAATAAAAATAAAAGTGTTTACTTTAGTGATTGTTTACTCACAGCACGGCGCGCTAACCACTGCGCCACCGTTCCACCCAAAATCCCCCCCCCCCCGCTCCCCTTCTCAACTCCTTCACGGTACATAATGCCCTCCCGCCACCACCCTCACCCACGGGGCATTGGACGGGAGACGATGATGAATTGTTGAACCCTAAAAATAGAGACGGAGAACCAATTATGTTATTTATGATCGAGGGATAATAGTCGCGCACGTGCACGCCTCGGGACAGCTCGTGTTCACGGAGTGCTGCCCATTGTTTGGAGGTTTCTATTTTTAAGCCATCCATTGGCCCTTCCCCCGGAATAATCGTCTCCTTGTCCCCTTCCGTCCAGTCTCCTCACAAAGAGTCGCGTGTCCCCCCCCCCCCCCCCCAATATTTCAAGGCGATTCGAGAGCGCTTTGATGTGGTCCGAATGTGTTCGACGAAAAGTGTTTGCTGGCTGGCTGGCTGGAGGGTCGGGACGTTACTGAGTGGTTAGGTGCGGGATGCGAGGGGGCAATTGAAATAAACTCGCTGTGATGTTTAAAACACGCGCGCGGCTCACCAACAGCGATGCTGAACCCACCACGCAGCTCACCAATGATAATTGGTAAACTCACCACGCAGCTCACCAATGCTAAACTCACCACGCAGCTCACCAATGCCAACCTCACCACGCAGCTCACCAATGCTAAACTCACCACGCAGCTCACCAATGCTAAACTCACCACGCAGCTCACCAATACTAAACTCATCACGCAGCTCACCAATGCTAAACTCACCACGCAGCTCACCAATGCTAAACTCACCACGCAGCTCACCAATGCTAACTCACCACGCAGCTCACCAATGCTAAACTCACCACGCAGCTCACCAATGCTAAACTCACCACGCAGCTCACCAATGCCAACCTCACCACGCAGCTCACCAATGCCCTTAAAAGTGCGGGGCCCCTAGCTACATATGTGGCTACTACATATGTGGCTACTACATATGTGGCTACTACATATGTGGCTACTACATATGTGACTACTACATATGTGGCTACTACATATGTAGCTACTACATATGTAGTTACCTACTTGTTCCACTGGGATAATCCGGCACTGGCAGTAATTAATATGTACGCCGCAGTTGTTTTATGCTCGGCAGGTCACGTGTGGCGGCAGGGTATAGAATTGTGGGTCTCTCCCAAACTCCCCCTCGACGTCTGCCCAGCGCGGAACAAAGAGTCAAATTACCCCCCTAAAGGGGCTCTCGCTATCGAGAACTCCCTCCCGGCGGAGAGGCCTTTCGGCCGGCAATGGTGCGAGCTCGCAATTGCAGGGCTGCGCCTTTGTAAAGAGTACAAAGGGGGATCTCGGGTCGAGAATTTATTTGCGACGTGCCCTATCCCCCCGACTCGGATCTCGTAAGCTCAGCAGGGGTTTGAGCCTGGAGAGTGCCCAGATGGGTGATCGCCAGACACGTCAATCGGGTTGCTGGCCCACGTGTTGAGAATCGTTTTTTTTTATTATCATCAAAATCTTCATTTAGACCGGAGGAGGAATCCGATTAGCTATGAAGCTCTTTTTCACAGATGTCCACCGATGTTGCGGCAGCACGTGGCGGTTCAGCAAAAGCAAATTGTTGTATTGTACTTCGTTTGCTCCCGCGTCCATGTTGACCCCCCCCCCCCCCCCCATGTCTTCACCAACTCGCACTGACCAGCGTGGTGAAGTATGGTCGGTGAACACCCCAACTCGCACGGCGTGGGGAGGCGCTCGTGTTATCCAGCAGTGGATTGACAACAGCGGATGGTTGTAATAGCCTACACAGACGCGACTTTAATAGAATCGAGATTTAATAAATACGAACATACGCCCAAGGGCCCGAATCGGTATTGTCTCCATTCACGGAATCGCCTTAAGAAAGTGTCGGGAATTGACCCCCCGTCCGAGGCTGAGCTCGGACAATATGCCCCAGCCTCCCTGCCGGAGGATTGGGTTACGCGCTGACAATTTTTAATATTGACAAACAATCGGTGTTTTGCCCAGTTGCGTGAAGATGTTCAAACACCAAATAAGAAACCTTTCGCAAGGAATCAAGCCACTGCGTTGACCATAAACGATACTTGTTGCGAACGTGCAAAGAGACAGGCTCTGATAATACAGAGTTCTTCAACATTTTTGTTAACACTTATATGGGACTCACGTGTTTTAATGTCAGAAGAACGGATAATAATACACTGTAATATGATTTTAAAAAATGTTTAATGTTAATAGCTTAATAGCTTAAAAAAAGAATGTGTTCCAAAGCCACCCCGGGAGGCACATTTATTGTGGCGTCGTTGTAAATTGTCAGAAGTGTAAACATTTTTTTCGAAGCACCCTGTATACGCATTGTCTTCGAAACTGCTTGGCCTAGATCAGAGACAGCATTCTCCAGTTTTAAAGACACTGCGTACATCGTCAGAGCCTGTTTGTTTGCATGTTCACTACAAGTACGTGTGTGGTTTATACGTAACTTTATTCCTTTAAAGAGGTTTATATTTGGTGTTTGGACATATTGACACCTGCTATTGTATTGCCAGAAGGGGTAAAACTTATTCTTTCTTCTCATACTTGGATACTGGTAAAAATAAAAAGGTGGCATGGTAATTGTAAATGTTGTAATGAGAAATGTAGCAATGATTTTAATTGAATGGAAGGACAGTGCGAACATTCATCTTAGGGGTAGTATTTATTTGAAATGAAAGCACGGACACCGTCATCACCACCACCATCATCATCATGACAGTTACATTTCACTAATCACACTTCACCGAATACGATGTCTTCACCTCTTACAGAGAGACACCAACTCGCCGCGTTAAATACGATAAATAATATTCTGTAATAATAAATACACACCTACCTACATAAATTATATTCAGAAATAAGTTAGAGATAATAGATCACGACGTTTCGATCGCAACCACAAGTGGATCGTCTTCAGGTGGAAGAAACAGACTGCTGTGGCACGAGGCCTTATATAGACAGATTTTATTTTTATTTTCTATCTACGTGACTTTACCGAAAGAACCAAAGAATATGGATCTCTGCGGTCACGAAAGCGTCAAATCAATATGTAAGTTAAAGAGTAGCATTCTTTATTTTGTACGCGAAATGCTACATTGTAAAAAAAAAAAGTTAAATTACTACCTAACCGCTCACGCAATCATGTTATATACAATATCACATAATGTGGGGAGCCGTAGCACAGCGGTTAGCGCCACTGCACTATCAAACCCGGACCGACTGCCTAAGTTCGATTCCCAGGCCACAGGCTCACGCCGGTGGCGACTGAGATCTGAACCAAGTCCTGCGCCTCCCCTTGGCTCACCAACCACCCCCAACACCATTGACCGGCGTGGGGAAGTATGGTCAAGCAAACGCCACGACCCGCACGGCGTGGAGAGGGAGGACTTGATCCGGCAGTGGATTGATTCAAGGGCTGTGCATTATTATAAGAAGCAATTTAAATTAGGAACAACAGAACGTTAGACTTGTACGTTTAAAAAAACAATCGGCATTGTTTCATGATCTATGATATTATGACCTTAACCATAACCCGCACGAATACGTAACGCATTATATATTTAAATACATTAATGAATAACCAACGATCGTCACGCCTGCCTGCGTAAACGATGAACGGGATAGCAAACCCGTGTCCGTTGATTCGTCCTCATGGGCGAAATGCTGGAAATTCCACGTTCCTATGGCCGGCCATGACGCAATCGGCGATACGCGCACGATACCACTCACTTACGACCACACGCGCTTTCGGTAAAACCGCGATACGAGTTGCAGGCACATCAGCCGCTACTTAAAATTCTCCAACATGGAGCGTACGACGCAAGGCAATGCGCGCGCGTGTTTAGATATAAACACACACACACACACGAATTTAAACGGCATTTCTAATAATAATCAACATCATCATCGCGCAACAAACGCGCCCTGTGACACCCGGTGTGGCACGCACGGTTCGGCGTCGTACGGTGCGAAAGAAGTTCAACGATAGTAAACATTGCTTACAACAACAGTAAACAACAACTAACGGGGCATTGTTATTTACAACAATAACAAATCTGCTTGCCCGCACGTGGCTGGGTGGGACAATAACCCCCCCCACCCACCCACGTTACACGATTCTCTCAACTCGAAAGAGTTGGTGACATTTAAGCTCAAAACAGCTTTTACATCGGATATCTTTGTTGGCCCTTCCACCTCGCTAGTGACAACGCGACGCACGCAACCTCCTCCCCCCCCCTTGCGCGAGGAGGCCATCGTCGCTCGCCACCTAGCAGATGCTGCAGCTGTTGGCCTTCTTGATGCCGGGAGGCCGCGCTTCCTCGACCTTCGGGAAGGTCTCCGCTCGCTTCGGCCGCTCCTTGCTGCGCTGCTGCTGCTGCTGTTGCTGCTGCCGCTTCGCCTGGTCGCGGAACTGCGCTCGCCTCGTCTCGGCCGACAGGCGAACGTCGCCGCCGGGACCTTTGACCATCCCCACGAGCTCCTGGAAGAGCTCCATGACGCCGCCGCCGTCTTTGGCGGACGCCTCCACGTACCGGTGGCCCCAATCGAGCTCCGTCACGCAGGAGGCCTCCTCCTTGGCCACGGCACGTGTCGAGGAGGCCTCGCGGCTGTCGGACTTGCAGCCCACCACCAGGATACGTGGCGCCGCGCGCGGGAGGTCCTCGGCATCTCCGCCTCCTCCTCCTCCTCCCTCGTGGCCGTTCGCCAGCCGCTCGTCGCGGAGCGTGGCTCTCTCCACGAGAATCTCGTCGCGGATTCGGGTCACCTCCTCGAACGAGTCCGGGTCGTCGACGGAGAAGGCGAGGACGAAGGCATCGCCGCTGCGCACCGCGAGACGGCGCATGGCCGGGAACGAATAGCTCCCCGCGGTGTCGAGAAGTTCCAGGATGAACTCTCCATCGCCTCTGCCTCCTCCTCCTGCTGCTGCTGCTGTGTCGGTTCCACAGTTGAAACGGTGGAGTTCCTCCACCGTGGGCTTGTAGATGGGGTCGAAGGAGTCGCTGAGGAAGCGGCGGATCAGCGAGGACTTCCCCGTGCCGGCAGCTCCAAAGAACACTACGCGGGCCCTCTGGCCGTGCTGCTGCTGCTGCTCGCGATGGCTCAGCTGTTGTTTCATGGCTTTTGGTTGCTTTTTTTCCCCCCCGGAGACAACGAAAAACCTGCGCGCGCGGAGTCGGGTTAAGAGCAGAGATCGAGTTGTGATTAATTGCATGTCGTTGAGCTGAGCGGTTTAAGCGGGTCATTTCCCGAAACGTCGTGAATTAGATTTTTTTTTAGTATTTGAAAAAAATGCAGTTAAGGCAGTCATTAGATCTGTAAATGACGAGAAATCTCATCGTTGTTACGGAAAATCAGGGTAGTTTATTATTATTGGATATCTGTGGGAAAAGAGCTTCATAGCTCATCGGATTCCTCCAGTCTAAATAAAGATCCTGATGTTGCTGTATAAGGAGACAGATGGAGAGATAGAGAGATGTATCGATAGAGAGAGAGAGAGACTGGATGGAGAGATCGAGAGAGATATATGGATGGAGAGATAGAGAGAGATGAGAGAGATGGAGAGATGAGAGAGAGATGAGAGATAGATGGAGAGATAGAAAGAGATGAGAGAGATGGAGAGATGAGAGAGAGATGAGAGATAGATGGAGAGATAGAGAGAGATGGAGAGATGAGAGAGAGATGAGAGATAGATGGAGAGATAGAGAGAGATGAGAGAGATGGAGAGATGAGAGAGAGATGAGAGATAGATGGAGAGATAGATGGAGAGATAGAGAGAGATGAGAGAGATGGAGAGATGAGAGAGATGAGAGAGAGATGGAGAGATGAGAGAGATGAGAGAGATGGAGAGATGAGCGAGATGAGAGAGAGATGGAGAGATAGAGAGAGATGAGAGAGAGATGGAGAGACGCGTGCGTGCAGCAGTTCGGTCTGTCCGGCTTTTGTTTTGTGTTTGTTATCAATCGTTGCGCTCGCTGTTGTCCAAACCGCGGGTTGTGGACGAGCGATTTGGAGAGTGAGCAACATTGGCGGGGAAAGACGGAGCGTGTGTAGGGAATGGTGACGCTTGGCCAACGCGCGATGAGAAACGGAGTGAGGGCCTCAGGTGGAGGACTTCTCGCGCTAATTGTTGACGAAGAGCAAATTGGCACGTGGCCAGGACACGCCACGGCTGTAAGGATTGAAGAGGTTGATGAGGTTGACGATTATGATGATCTTGACTTAAAGCTTTCGTGACTGCAGGAATCCATATTCTTTGGGTCTTTGGGTAAAGTCACGTAGATGGGTTCAAAGAAAATAACAAATAACTACGACGTTTCGATCGCAACGCAAGCGGTCGTCATCATCGTGACTTTACCGGAAGACCCAAAGAATATGTTTATGATGAGGTTGATGATGAGGAGGTTGATGAGGAGGAGGTTGATGATGAGGTTGACGATGATGGAACGCGCCCCGGGAGAGGAGGGCATTCGCCCCGCACATCACGACCAGGTGCTCATTAAGGCTGAGTCGACCTAGGGGAGTCCCAGGACCGGTTCAGATAATCGTCACCGGTGTTGGCAATGAGCGGGAATCGAACCCGGGTCGCCGGTTTCATTGCGCAGCGCGCTAACCCCTACATTACCGCTCCCCTACACACACACACAAAACACACATGCACATACACACACACGTGCACACACGCAGTAGGTAGTAGTAGAATCGTGCGCTTACCGGCTTGGCTGGCGAGACGAGAGGAAGTTTTGCGAGCTTCTATTTGCGCGTGCGGTGTGTATATGTATGTGAGTGTGCGGTGTGAGTGTGTGTTCAGTGTGAGTGTGCGGTGTGTGTATGTGTTCACTGTATGTGTTCAGTGTGTGTGTTCAGTGTGTGTGTTCAGTGTGAGTGTGTGTATTATTTTTTTGCGCGCGCGCGTGCAGAGGAACGAGCCTCCGCGTGCGTGGATGAGACTAAGGTGCCCCGTGTAGCCTTCGCAGACACCGCCGGCAGGCAGCAACGAAGGAACGAACGACTCCTGGTGGACACGCGGCGACTCGAGCAGCGAGGCGGAGCGAGGGCAGACAGCGGTCCGGCGTCTCGTCCGTGCCCCGCTTATAAAGAGACGCCGCTCCGTGAGCAGCAGCGGCAGCCAATCGTCGAGGGAGGGGAGAGGCGGCCCGGGGGGGGGGGTGGGGGGGGGGTGGAGGGGGGGGGGGGGGGGGGGGGGGGGGGGGGGGGGGGTTGGTGGGGGGAGTGCAGCGGGGGAGGGAGGGGGGGGGCAGACAAAGAGGACGATGGGAGGTGAGAGGGAGGGACGGGGGTGGGGGGTGATGAGGTGGGGGGAGAATCGCGAGCTGTGCAAAAGGAGGAGGTGGGTGGGTGGGTGGGGGGGTTGGTGGGTGGGGGGGTTGGTGGGGGGAGTGCAGCGGGGAGGGAGGGAGGGGGGAATTGGGTGGAGGCAGACAAAGAGGACGGTGAGAGGTGAGAGGGAGGGAGGAGGAGGATGATGATGAGGAGGTTTGTTGGAGAGTCGCGAGCTGGGTAGGAGGAGGGGTTGACGGTATGCAGGGAGCGGCCTCTTGCCTCGCGGCAAAGGTAGGCAAATGAGATGGATGTGTCGAGGCATTGGAACGCGTCTGAGAAATGGTGGGGGGGGGGAGGGGCGGAGATGGAGCGATATATTCCCGGGGTGTGCACGTGTGCAGGTGTGCACGTGCATTATTGCATCGCAGGATCGCGAGGCGCGTACGTTGATTTTTTTTCGCACCGTACGTAGCCAACCGTGATAATCGGAGGAGCGGGATGGGGGGGGGGGTAGCAAGCTAAGGTGGAGGAGATGGTGGCGGTGTCTTGGGAAAAAAATAATCATCCAGCAGTGGATTGACAGTGGTTGGTGATGATGATGACAACATCATTTTGTCCGGATTCTAAGACGTTCCGGAAAGTAAGACGCGCTCCTCAACGTGTACCCCGGTGTCATTATGGCAGCAGTCATACAAATCCGGTCACACGAAAGATAAAGACAAAGATCCCTATCCCCCGTATAGCTTCGACAGACTGTCGGGGCAAGTGCTTTTAGCGAGTAACACCTCTGAAGGCGGCAACGGCACACGAGGGTGTGGGTGACAAGCGCCACGCCCGGCCGCCTTTGTCTTCCCAAGTGGCGATGTCTACACATCGCACCAGGTACTCATTTGAGGCTGAGTCTGGAAGGACGACAAACGAACACACAAAAAGCAGTTCTCAAGAAGTGGACACGGTCGGGTCTTGCAGTTCGTCTGTCCTTGCATGCAAGCGAATAGTGAGGTTCTTTTTTATAATTCCGAAAATTCGCTGGCACACCTGGGACTCACCTGGGGGCGATGTTTACACACCTCTGCCAGGTACTCACTTGAGGCTGAGTCGACCTAGGGGAGGCCCGGGACCGGCTCAGCTAATCGTCACCGGTGTTGGCCATGAGCGGGAATCGAACTCGGGTCGCCGGGTTCGTAGCGCCTTCATTGGTGCTCGCTAACAGCACTTGCCCCTACAATCTGTTAAGGCTATACGGGGATCTTTGTTATGTGTGTGTGTGTGAAAGTGTGTGTGTCGCCACACGACTAGGCTAAGCGATTTTTCCATCGTAGCAGGTAAGGGCCCACTGAGCTATGTGGCTCTTTTTCAGAAGCGACCCTGCCTATCGCAAGTGAGAGCTCGACTAAGTGGGCCTGTCGTCACGTGGCAATGTACGGCAGCAACATGCTCGAAACGCGTGGCGATGTCGCTTCTGAACGCGGTGGGAAAAAAACCCGGACGACCCGGAGAAAAATCCACGCGACCACGGGGAGAGGCAGACGCAAAACTCCAAATATCACAGCGGTCGGGCTCGAACCGACGACCTCCTGCATTCCGGGCGATGTGGTTAACATCTCGTTATCGTGGCGCCCCAGATATTGTAGCCGAACCCTGCTGGCGAGGGTGGGAAGCCCGTTGGGGGAGGATGGGTAATTAAGCAAGACCATTGGAAAGATGTTCTAAATCGAACCAAACATTAAACTAATTTTCAATGGTACAGTATTTTTTTCAAGTAGTGGTACCGCAAACTTTTGCAGCTCTTAAAAATTCCCTTTTCACACCATCAATAAGTAAACTCCCCCATCCCCCCCCCCCCGCGCCAAACGGCAAGTCCACCCGCACGTACACCACCTCTATGCTAAGTCGGCCAATCAAATGCTAATTTGTATGCTAATTCCTTTGTCAATGCACCTTGTTTCCTCGCACACAGCTTAAAGGTCGCGGTCTGAGCGTGGCTGTGTTTCACTCCAGCGCTGTCCTCGAGACAGCCTGATCCCTTCACCTGATGAAGGCCGCTTGTGTTGTGGCCGAAACGTCGTGATTTTTGTTGTTTTATTTTTTACTTACGTGACTTTACCGAATAGAACCAAAGAGTGAGGATGGGTGACTTGGGTGTCGCAGGCGATGCGTCGAGGAGGGGGATTAACGTCACGAATTTAGCGGCTGTCGCTCGACGCGTCCAGCGAGTTGGGTGACGCTGCAGCGACGCGAATGGAATTCGAGAAATCGCCATCGATGCGTCCAATGCAGAAAGTGTGTGAGCGTGCATGCGGCACGCACAGGATGTGGGGAGCGGTGGCGCAGCGGTTAGCACGCTTGCGCTACGAACGCCGGGCGACCAGATCTTCCATTTCCAATCATGGCCAACGCCAGTGACGATTATCTGAACCGGGAATGGGCCTCCCCTAGGTCGACTCAGCTCTACGGGGGATCCTTGTACAGGATGTGAGCGGCAGGACAGCGGTTAGCACGCTGCGTTACGAACGCGGGGGTGGCAGCACGAGTTGGCTATGAGATGTTAACTCCCTCGCCTGGTGTGCAGGAGCTCGTGGGTTCGATCCCGACTCTGATACCTGCTGTATATGTGGAGTTTGCGTGTCTCTCTCTCACCATCATCATCACGGTGGCTATGAGATGTTAACTCCCTCGCCTGGTGTGCAGGAGCTCGTGGGTTCGATCCCGACCTTGATACCTGCTGTATATGTGGAGTTTGCGTGGCTCTCTCTTATCATCATCATCATCATCACGGTGGCTAGGAGATGTTAACTCCCTCGCCTAGTATACAGGAGCTCGTGGGTTCTATCCCGACCCTGATGCCTGCTGCTGTATATTTGGGGTTTGCGTGTCTCTCTCTCTCTCTCGCCCGTAGTTGTGTGGATTTTTCTCCGAGTTCTCCATTTCGTCCTTGCACATTTAGAAACATTGCGTTTATTTAGATTTGGCTGCTATACATTTCCACGTGATACGCCACTTCGTTGAGTTATCATCTGTGGCCAGGTCGCTTCTGAAAAAGAGCACAGTGGGCCTTACCTGGTTTAAAAAAATATATAGAGAGTTTTTCGTAGTTTTAGTTTATAGATTCCCGGCCACGGATAACACGGACAGCGAGTGATTTCAAAACCGCTGTTGCCCACCTGTTGTACTCTACTACGACTGTACTTCTATGCTCCCAGGCCTCTGCTGCCCGCCAACACCCGTGTTGATTCACGTGTTGGGTTTGCTCGTGAGGTGGTTTACCAACGAGGTGGTTATTAAACGACGCGCTTGCAGAAATGTCTTTGACATTTCAAAGTCAGCGCCTCGGACCAACAGACAGGTGACGGTGGCTTGAAAACCATTATTGCCAGAGATGACGCCAATGCAGATGGGCGTGGCTTATTATGCAAAACTATTTTGCATTGACCCCCCCCACTCTCCCTTCCCCCAATGGGCGGTGAGGTCACAGCTTAAGCATTTTCTTATATGATTAAATTAATTAATGGATTTGACGTGCGAAGTAAGTCCAGGGGGTGGGCGGATGGGGGTGCCCCCACCCCCATCCTCCCACCCATCCCCCACCCTGGATCCCAAACTTTAATGTTACTGCGACTCAGTTCGGTGGCAATGGGTTTGGGGCCGTCCATAAATTACGTCACGCGATTTTGGACGATTTTTTACCCCCCCCCCTCTTCGTTACACGACGTCACAAAAAGTCAGACCCGCCCCTCAAATATGACGTCACAAAGCTCTGCCCCCCCCCCCAAAAAAAACCATGCTTAAAATCGCTTTACACTATTGTCATTGTGGTGCGTATTTAATGTGGCGCTGTACTCTGATGTTGTTTATCAAAAAGTCAATTTGATTAAGTAGAACGTGTTGTCTATATTTATTTCAAGTTGCGCATTTGTATATGTATTTGTATATATAGTAGCTACTAAATATGTGTAGTACATATGTAGTAGCTACTTGTGCTACTAGGATCATCCGGCACTGCCATGGGGTGCGTGTACTCCAGGTGAAGCAGAACCACTGTTTTGATACTCTTATCGTTTGGGGTTACATGGCCACGATCATAACTTTTGTGGCTCGTCCCCAATGTGTTGAAACCTTTCCTCCCGAAGGGTTTCAACACAAGATCTGGGGCGCCACGGTAGGGAGATGTTAACTACCTCGCCTGGTATGCAGGATGTCCGTGGGTTCGATCCCGACCCTGACGCCTGTTGTATATTTGGAGTTTGCGGTGTGTCTCTCTTTTTTTTCCCCGTGGTCGCGTGTTTTTACCCTCCACATTCACAATCAACGTCACACGTTTCGGAGGATCGGGAAGCAAAACGGGTGCAAGGCTGTAGTTAAAGGCTCACGATCCATCGGTGTCGAATATTTGGCTGCGATAAATGTCGTACGAGATAAGCCACTTCGTTGAGCTATCATTTGTGGGCAGGTCGCTTCTGAAACAAAGAAGCTAAATAAATAGTTTATAGTGGAAGTTGTTTTCTACGTTTGTCACTAGGCTCCGTGCTCCGCTCGCAGCTTCTCATTTCCATTCAAGGCGCCGCGGGTTACGTTGCTGTGTTATTAAATGCGTCTCGTTTACAAGGTGACGATTCTTCATCGCTGCTGTTGGGAGGTGGGGGGAAATACCCTGAAATTGTTTTTTGTTGTTGTTGTTGTTGTTTCGTGTCGATTGCAAATGCCGCTGAGATTGGCTCGTCCTTGCCTCGAGGGGGGGCGGGGGGAACGCAACACCAACCTCACAGAACTGCCTCGACTGCCTTCCGCTGATCGGTGCTCCGACTATTCCTTGCTGCTGC